ACTAGGTCATTTCGGGACTAACATATGGTCTTTAGCAGTGGTAGGAAACCAGGGGACCTGGAGAAAACCCACAATGTTGGACAGGCGACCCTACTCCTTGTCACGTACAACTGGGGAATTGAAACCCCACCAGTTGACTCAATGACAGACTTTTATGATACAAAGCAGTACATAACTGTGATAACAATATATGATATTATATTCTATTTATATAACTGGAAACTGGAAAGCAGATGTATCAGCCTGTCCAGCTTGAATTCTATTTATATAACTTTAAATGAAATGAAATAGGGTTTAACTACCTGCTGTTCTGCTCTGTCTGGACTAATAAAGACGGGCATACACATAGAACATTGAAAATTATAAACATGAAGAGCATACAAACATTGAAAAATATATCAACATTAAATATTGAAAATATAAAGACTTGAAATATAGGAAAAGTTAAAAGAGCATTTATGGGCATTTGGACAATGAAAAATTTATGACACATTTTCTTTTTATTGTGCTGGAACAATAATAAGTTATCCTATTATCTGATAAGATATGGGGAAAGTATTTCTACAAAATTTTACAGGAGACATTATGGGAGATTAGAAAAAGAGTTGACAGTTCTGGCTGTAATAGTCAAAAAATAGATAAAGTAAATAGAATATGCTGAAAATTTTAGTCAAATTACTCCACTCTGAACCGAGATATTAGTTTTTGAATTTTAGGCTAGCTTCTAAATCATTACTAAAGCCGGTACGATGAAAAATAATATCTTGATTATCCATTTTTACGTTTGATTATTTTTCAAATAATGTATTCCAATCCAGTAAATATCGAAAACTAGCGTTGGCATCGAAAATTGATTATGGTCTGGATAAGTTTATTAATGTCTAATTAATAGTTTAGAAAATGTATTCCAATCCACCAAATATCGAAGACTAGCGATGGCATCGAGAGTTGATTATGGTCTGGATAAGTTTATTAATGTCTAATTAATAATTTAGATACCATTTCAGGCCTAAAGAAAGAACAAGAACAAGTTTCTTGAAAATTTTAACTAACATAAAATCCAAACTTTAGTAATTTGATTGGATAAAATTAGATTGATTTTCGTGCTTAGCCAACAAAATTGAAGTAACTACTAATATTTGGATTTTATCTTTAGTTGAGATTTCAAGAAACAGGACCCAGCAATAGGGTTTAACGTCCACTCGACACTAACTAGGTCATTTCGAGACTAACATATGGTTTAATTTTTATTTCAATAATTCGCTTGCGCATAGGGGTCTTTAGAAGTGGGAGGAAACCGGAGGACCCGAAGAAAACCCACGAGGTTGGTCAGGCGACCCTACTCCTTGTCACGTACAAACGGGGATTCGAAACCACGCCAGTCGACTCAATGACAGACTTTATGATACAGCATGCACGCTAACCATTCAGCCATCCACCCCCCCCCCCCCAGCAATAGGCAGATTTAACTCTTGCATAATGTATGTTTATGATGTGTAAACACTGAACATTGAATACATTCAAAAGATTAAATATTAAAAATGTAATCATATTAATGTATGTATTGATATACAATTTTTATACGCCCACATTTTCATGTGGACGTATTATGCCGTCGCCCTTTTCCGGACGTCCGTCCGTCCGTCCACAATTGTTTGTGGACACTCTACAGATCACAATTCTTATCCGATTTTGACGAAACTTGAAATATAGGTTTATCTCCAAAATATATCGGCTGCTTTCGATATTGGCATGTATCGGATCGAAACTTCATGGATTATGGCCCCTGTTTGTACGAAAAATCACGTTTTTAGCTTGTGGACACTATAGAGGTCACAATTTTTATCCGATTTTGTTAAAACTTGAAATGTAAGTTGATAACCCAAAGACCTCGGTTCCTTTCGATATTCGCGCATATCGGACCGTAACTTCCTGAATTATGGCCCCTGATTGTACAAAAAACACGTTTTTAGCTTGTGGACTCTATAGAGGTCATAATTTTTATCCGATTTAAAAAAACGTTTTATCATATCACTGTTACACCCTAAGGATGGCCGAGTTCGAATTTCGTTAAAATTGACAGACAAAATGGCCGCCGTTCGTTCTCAAATAGCGTTAAAATATGCTTTATCAAGGTTGTGGACCCGATAGAGGTCACAATTTTTATCCGATTTTGTTGAAACTTGAAATGTTAGTTTATAACCCAAAGATCTCAGTTCCTTTCGATATTCGCGCATATTGGACCGTAACTTCCTGAATTATGGCCCCTGATTGTACGAAAAATCGTGTTTTTAGCTCATGGACCCTATAGAGGTAATAATTTTTATCCGATTTGAAAAACCGTATTATTATATCACCGTTACACCCTAAGGATGAATGAGTTCGAATTTCATGAAAATCGGCCCAAAATTGACAGACAAAATGGCCGCGGTTCGTTCTCAAAGAGCGTAAAAATATGGTATATCAAGGTTGTGGACCCTATAGAGGTCACAAGTTTTATCCGATTTTGTTGAAACTTGAAATGTAAATTTATAACCCAAAGATCTCAGTTCCTTTCGATATTTGCGCATATCGGACCGTAACTTCTGGAATTATGGCCCCTGATTGTACGAAAAATCGCGTTTTTAGCTTGTGGACCCTATAGAGGTCATAATTTTTATCCGATTTAAAAAAACGCATTATTATATCACCGTTACACCCTAAGGATGAATGAGTTCGAATTTCATGAAAATTGGCCCAAAATTGACAGAAAAAATGGCCGCCGTTCGTTCTCAAATAGCGTAAAAATATGCTTTATCAAGGTTGTGGACCCTATAGAGGTCACAATTTTTATCGGATTTTGTTGAAACTTGACATGTAAGTTTATAACCCAAAAATCTTGGTTCCTTTTGATATTCGCGCATATCGGACTGTAACTTCCTGAATTATGGCCCCTGATTGTACGAAAAATCGCGTTTTTAGCTTGTGGACCCTATAGAGGTCATAATTTTTATCCGATTTAAAAAAACGTATTATTATATCACCGTTACACCCTAAGGACGAATGAATTCGAATTTCATGAAAATCGGCCCAAAATTGACAAACAAAATGGCCGCCGTTCGTTCTCAAATAGCGTAAAAATATGGTATATCAAGGTTGTGGACCCTATAGAGGTCACAATTTTTATCCGATTTTGTTGAAACTTAAAATGTAAGTTTATAACCCAAAGATCTCGGTTCCTTTCGATATTCGCCCATATCGGACCGTAACTTCCTGAATTATGGCCCCTGATTGTACGAAAAATCCTGTTTTTAGCTTGTGGACCCATTAGAGGTCATAATTTTTATCCGATTTAAAAAAACGTATTATTATATTACCGTTCCATCCTAAGGACAGTTGAGTTTGAATTTTGTGAAAATCGCCCGAAAATTGACAGAAAAAATGGCCGCCGTTCGTTCTCAATTAGCGTTAAAATATGGTATTTCAAGGTTGTGGACCCTATAGAGGTCACAATTTTTATCCGATTTTGTTGAAACTTGAAATGTAAGTTTATAACCCAAGGATCTCGGTTCCTTTTGATATTCGTGCATATCGGACCGTAACTTCCTGAATTATGGCCCCTGATTGTACGAAAAAAAAACCCTCGTCTGTCGGTCCGTCCGTCCGTCCGTCCGTCCGTCCGTCCATCGTCCACAATTTCTTGTGAACGCTCTAACGCCAAAAGTTATCATCCAATTGTTTTAAAATTGATATATGTTGTTTTCATCATCCGATCTTTCTGAAATTTACATGCATTATTTAAATTAGTGCAACGAAGAAGCCTATTTCCGTTTATTACGTCTAGAGTTATGGCCCTTGTTTCATGTTATTGAACCTTGTGAACGCTCAAACGACAAAAGTTATCATTTGATCTTTGTGAAATTTATATGCATTATTTAGATTAGTGAAACAGGGAAGCTTATTGAATTTCAGCAATTTCCGTTAATTACATCTAGAGTTATGGCCCTTGTTTCACTTTGTTGTTTCTTGTGAACGCTCTAACAACAAAAGTTATCAACCGATCTGTATGAAATTTATATGCATCATTTAAATTAGTAAAACAAAGAAGCCTATTGAATTTCAGCAATTTCCGTTAATTACATCTAGAGTTATGGCCCTTGTTTCACTTTGTTGAATCTTGTGAACGCTCTAATGACAACAGTTATCATCCGATCTGTTTGAAATTGATATGCATCATTTAAATTAGTGAAACGAAGAATCCTATTGGATTTCAGCAATTTCCTTTAATTACGCCATGAGTTATGGCCCTTGTTTCACTTTGTTGTACCTTGTGAATGCTTTTAACGACAAAAGTTATTATCCGATCTGTATGAAATTTAAAGGTATCGTTTAAATTAGTAAAACGAACAAGCCTATTGAGTTTCAGCAAATTTCCGTTAATTACATCTAGAGTTATGGCCCTTGTTTCACATTGTTGAATCTTGTGAACGCTTGAACGACAAAAGTTATCACCCAATCTGTATGAAATTCATATGCATCATTTAAATTAGTGAAATGAAGAAGCCTATTGAATGTCAGCAATTTCTGTCAATTACTTCTAGAGTTATGGCCCTTGTTCTACTTTGTTGAATGTTGTGAACGTTCGAACGACAAAAGTTATCATCCGATCTGTATGAAATTGATATGTATTATTTGAATTAGTAAAATGAAAAAGTCTGTCGAATTTCAATAATTTCTGTAGATTACTTCCAGAGTTACAGCCCTTGTTTTAGTTTTTAGAACCTTGTGAACCCTCAAACGACGAAAATTATAATGTCATCTGTATGAAGTTGTCTATTAAATGCCCCCTAATTACCTACAAAAGAACAAATATACGACAACTCTTGTCGACCGCTCGGACGATTTAGCTGCTGTGGGCGTATGTTTAGTTGCCAGGCAATCCAATCTTTAGCTTGTTCTCTATCCATCTCTCGAAAATGTGGGCGTATCCTGCCTGGCAGCCGCTGGTTATTTTTTCACAGGAAAAGACGGAGCCTCTCAAACATCATCTCAGAGTTCTAGAGATCCGTCAGAATTTGCAGAAGGTAGAATCGATATCCGCAGATTTTCTCAGTTTTTATCTAGTCAACAAGTCAACCCTCAACGAGTTGTTTGTAGTATGTATTATTATTTTAGATATTTATTTTTCATGATATGCCTTAGTTTTCACAGTATTGAAACAAGGACCTTTAACCCTTCTCCCATCAAAAGGCAAAACCTAGTAACTCACTTTTTTCTTATTTTGAGAAAACAAAGGAAAACGTAAGGAATGAATATTAAACCCCAGCTCATCCATTGATTTGACTATTGAGTTACTAGGTTTTGCTGTGGTATACTAGGCAAATGAAGGAAGTTGCTAGGTTGTGTCATGGGTCACAAAAGATTGGAATATCTAGTACAACAACAGGAAGCACATACCCTAGTTACTACAAATTTGGTCCAAACTCAATTCTGATAAAAAAGTGAGTTACTAGGTTTTGCCTTTTGACGGGAGCTTTCCTGAGCTAACGATGTCATACCCATAGAGGGCTATGCAAATATTGAGTAAAAATCAAGCTCTAGACCCTGTTGTGAAAAACCATGCATACCTTGAATATGAATGCGACTACAACTGTAAAATTGCAGATGTATATACATTATATATGACTTGTGATTTTTGCATATTTTTAGTTTAGCTTTTATGGTTACCATGGTTACCAGTGGGTTTCAAAATGGCTGCCATATAATTGTCATAAAAGAAATATTGGATATTTTCTTGCCATAAAAAAATTCAAGATGTGTAGGAATAAAACTATATAGATTATTAGCATGATGGATATCTCTTTTGTAAGAATAGTATGGGTTTTGGGGGGAAAATTGTGATTAAAATAGGTTTTTTTTCTAAAAATAATAAAATGTAAACAAGCAGTATTGAAATTTTGGCGGTAGACAAATTATATATAAAAAATCATCAGTAACTAGTTTTTTTTAACAATAAAATAAAAATAAAACAAATATTTGGAAAATAACAATAATATACACACACCATTCCTTGGCTGTTTTGACTATTGATGGTTGTTCCGTCAATAGAGGAACCCCCCTCGTAATAAAAACTCATGTTATACAGCAACTAAGGTTAAAACCATGCTTTTACAGGGGAGTAAATCAAGTTACATAAACTTCCGACTATCGTTAGGTGCTGCTCTGACACTATAAAATTATCCCGACAATCGACGGAATTAGCCCATAAAGGGTTTATGTCTTACTTTGGGATTTGGTTGGCCGAATGGTTTATTTATCGTTAATTTTTTTGGGTGGGGTGGGGGTGTCTAGTGGTTTGATCATAAGGTCTGTCGTTGAGTCAGGTGGCGTGGTGTCGAATCCCCGCCTGTCTTACCTTGTGGGATTTCTCCGGGTCCTCCAGTTTCCTCCCACTGCTAAAGACCCATGAGCGCAAGCAAGTTATTGAAACAAACTAAACTTGAACCATGTGTTAGTCCCGAAACGATCTAGTTTTCTAACCTCGTGGGATTTCTCCGGGTCCCTCCCACTACTAAAGACCCCTACGCGCAAGCGAATTATTGAAATAAAATTGAACCACGTGTTAGTCCCAAAATGACCTAGTTTGTGTCGAGTGGACGTTAAACCCCATTTCTCTCTCTCTCACAATTTAGTTTGTGTCAAGTGCGTGCTGATCCCTCTCTTTTGCTTTTCTACCCCACCGGACTAACATACATCGTGCAGTGTGTCATGAAGAAAAATTTTCCAATACATCAAATGAAGGGGTCTTTTACATGTGCATTAACACTGTAATCCAGGTATCGTTTAATCTTGTGTATCTAGCACTAATTTCTTTCACATCCGTTTAATATCCAATCTTTGTTTAAAAATTTGTAAAAATCGTTTAAAATCACCATAAATCGTTTAATTTGTACTTCTGTCCAGTTTTTATGAATTTTTAAACAAAGATTGGATATTAAACGACTGTGAAAGAAATCAGTGCTAGATACACAAGATTAAACGATACCTGGATTACAGTGCATTAAGGTGTACACATTTCATTTGTCTCATTCAAACAACTAGACACCATTATTGCCAGGCCCTCAATCCTGCTCCACTGGAAAGGGTAAACCCCTCCAGACAATTCTGAGGAACTTGCTTGACAAACGCAGGGGTCACAATTTTTATTCGATTTTGACTAAACTTGAAATATATGGTTCCTTTTGTTATTGGCATGTATCGGATTGTAACTTCATGAATTATGGCCCTTGATTGTACAAAAAATCATGTTTTTAGCTTGAGGCCACTCTGGTCACAATTTTTATTTGCTTTAGATGATGGACCTTAAAACCCATTTCTCTCTCTCTCTGTATCTATTCTAGCAGCCACTGCGACCGAAAGTCTTGGTACATTCTCGGTCAACTCTGGGGGTTGATCCCGTCATTTTCTGAATAGCGTTTTTTTCTTAGGTTATAGTATTGGTATTCTGTCTTCATTATCTGAGGAGGGGTTGGATTGCCGAATGGTTATTACGTGTGCGCTGTATGATAAGGTCAAACATTGAGTCAACTGGCGGGGTTTCGATTCCCCTGTTGTGAGTAGGGTCGGCTGTCCAACCTCATGTGTTTTCTCCGGGGTCTCCGTTGTCCCCCTACTCCACCGTTGTCCTCCTACTACCAATATTTTGAAATGGAAGCCCATGTTTAAAGCACTGTGTTTTGATTGTTTTGATTTTTTTTTTTTTCAGACATTGTAGAAAACAAAATGGTTCATTTCTACCTGATCCATGATGATGTTTCCCTCCAATATTTCATGCCTGCTGTGGCCGGTTAATCAAGACAACACTTAGACAATCTTCTTTATTATTGTTTTGCATTTCTAAACAGTGCTCATACCTGTGTTGTGACAAACAAGACTACCGGTGGAAACCCAGATGAATATTATCCAGACTCTGGAATGAGGTCCAGGTGGTTAATTATGTAACGGTCATATAATCCAAGACTACCAATAGAAGCCAGTCAAGTTGATTATGATGAGGTCATGTAGTCCAAGACTACTGCATGGTCTAACAAGCGTTTTGTGTTAGAGAAGTTTCTACAGAAGACCCAGTGCGACCATGATCAAGTATATATGACAGAGACGGCTTTGACCCAGTTTTTGTAAACTTAAACATACATTATGCAAGAGCGAAATCTGCCTATTACAGATCTTTAGGCCTGAAATGTTATCTTAATTATTCATTAGACATTAATTAACTTATCCAGACCATAATCAACTCTCAATGTCACCGTTAGCCTGCGATGTTTATTGGATTAGGTTATTATTTGCTGTTCGACTTCCATTCCTGATTTAATCTTGAAATGCTAAATCTGCCTATTAAAGGTCATTCTTTTGGCCTGAAATGTTATCTTAATTATTCATTACACCTTAATTAACTTATCAAGAGCATAATCAACCCTCGATGCCAACGGATAGCTCCGATATTGAGTGAATTTGAATAGTTTTACAGTTGATGAAAAAAACATAAGAATGGATAATCAAGACTTTTTTTTTTAATTATCGTAACAACGGTAGCAGTGACAATCAAGGCTACAGTTGTCAGCTCTTTATCTTAATCTTAAGTAATGCATCTTGGACATTTCTACCTTGTCTGATGGAGACTCTAGGGGTAGTAAGTCTTGAATTACTGCAATAGTTCATCATCTTTGTGTTCAATTGACACAAGCTAAGCCAGTGATTCTCAACCAGTGTGCCGCGACACACAGGTGTGCCGCAAGATCTTCCTAGGTGTGCCGCGGAATTTTGAACGACACACCAAGAAAATGTGAAAAACCAGATGATCCCAATTGAGTATTCATTGGTGTCTACTGTTAAGTTGATAGCTGTGTTTTTATTTTGCAAAATTCGATATTTTTCATATATATATTAGTCAGGTGTGCCACTATGTTTTCATGTGTTCCAAGGTGTGCCATTGGCAAAAAAGGTTGAGAACCACTGAGCTAGGCAAATCCAAACATTCGTTTGCGCATAGAGATCTTAACAAATTGGGTCGAAATCAACACATTGACAGGCGATCTTACACTTTGCTGTGTACAAACTTGGTTTTTAAACTGAGTCACTTGACTCATTGACAGACCTTAAGATATATAGTGTATGAATCAGATCATCAGGTCTATCATTGAGTCAACCACCCAACAGCCATTTGCAAAGAGTGTGGGCGTGATTGTGGACAACAACAAAGAATCATAAGTATAACTTATTTCTAATATCAATTCAGATTATTGTGCTATATTTTCAACATTAAATTGTTTTTTGTTTGTTTGTTTTGTTTTTTGGTTTTGTTAATATTTTTGATCAAGCAGTCTAAGCTTTGGAGTAGAATCTACTGCTTTTGAATCTTAGCATGGGCTGAAAAAAAACATGGATTTTACAAATGTATGTTCCCATTGATCTGGGGTAGCACCTGTTCCGATTGTATGGAATCCAGGCTCTATGCATGTGCACAGTGACATGCACGTAAAGGAAGCCTTGTCCAATGGAATATGATAATGGGCAGATAAGAATAAAATTGCAACCATAGAAACAATATCAATGCCTGTTCTTCTCAATATATCCAACAGTTGAACCAGGTTCCAAACCACTGGGGAGGGGGGGGGGGGGGGTAGGGCTGGTTTGGTTAGCACGTAGGTAGAGGTGCTGTATCATAAGCTCTGTCAATGAGTCATCTGGCGTGGTTTCGATTCGATTCCCGGGTTGTATGTGACAAGGAGTAGGGTCGCCTGTCCAACCTCGTGGGTTTTCGCTGGTTCCTCCAGTTTCCTCCCACTGCTACCAGCAATCAAATTATTGAAATAAAAGTGAACCATATGTTAGTCCCAACATGACCTACTTTGTGTCGAGTGGATGTGAACCCAATTTCTCTCTCCAAAACACTGCATACCCATCTTGATTAAAGAGAGATACAAATTGGGTTTAATGTCCACTCAACACAAACTAGGTCATTTCGGAACTAACACATGGTTCAATTTTATTTCAATAATTCGCTTGCTAGTAGGGGACTTTAGCAGTGGGAGGAAACCGCAGGACCCAGAGAAAACCCACGAGGTTGGACAAGCGACCCTACTCCTTGTCACATACAACCGGGGAATCGAAACCACGCCAGATGACTCAATGTCTGATCTTATACGGCGCACACGTAATAACCATTCAGCCATCCAGCACCCCGATTTTCATAAAGAAGCTTGAGTAGATTCATCTTAAAAAATGTCTGACTGCCTGGGCGAAATCCCCTGCCCCCAGATTCTTTTGGAGTTGACATTAAAAGGTGATAAATGTGAAGAATAAATTGATGGATGATGTGGGTTCCAGTCTGGTTCAGTGGTTCAGAATGGTAAGTAAGCCTATAGATAATCAGTTTGATTACTGGATACTTTTGAGCCCGGGGTGAACAATTTTAAACAATGGTAAACAAATAATTGTTAAAATTAAAACCACAATATACACTAGAATAAACATATAGACACACATAAGAGATTAAAACTCTCACACTAGAATATACATATAGATATACATAGTACATATACAGGGGTTAACGCCCCCACACTAGAATAAACATATATACACATACATAGTTCATATCCCCACGCTAGAATAAACATATAAATATGCATAGTACATGTTCATATACATAGGCGTACGGGTAAATTTTTGACTGGGGGGGGGGGGGGGCGGTGGTGGTTGGTGCCCAAAAAATGTAGTTAGGTTCTTAGTATGTTACATAATAATAACAAATTCGCTGTTAAATTGGACACATTCAAGAACTCAATATTATTTTATACAACTTTTACAAAGTACAATTGTGTGCCCAAATTTTTCCAGCATTTGGTGCCCAAAATGGGGGGGCGGTCGCCCCCCAGCCCCCCAGCTCATACGCCTATGTTCATATATAGAGGTTAACGCCCCCACACTAGAATAAACATATACATAGTACATATACAGAGATTAAAGCCACCACACGTCACAATAAAAGTCAATTCTAGTGTCCCTAATATCACATGGGGATCCAGACATGGGAGTTGAGTGTGAATTAACGTTCACAGCTCCCTTTATTAAACAAGACCCTAGAGTAGAGTGTATTCAGGGTACAAGGCCCGTCAACACAGCTCTGTTCCAGCAAAATTCTAGTAGAGTGAAGAAATTGGCCATACCAAAAAAACTCTGTTTTAGGCAGTATTTGTCACTAAATCCTAAAATAATGAAACGTTGTAGTTGTAGTATACTGTGCCTTGGACACGACATGTAGCCAAATGATAATGTCAATAATATTCACTAGTTGACTGTATCCCAACGATCATACCATTATGATTTTGAACTCTGTCGACATCGATCTACAAAGACGAGTCGAGACTCGTTCATTTGTTGAGAATATGATTTCTGATACTTTAACCGTGATGCATTGCCCAAATTTTCTTCCATAATTAAAACCATCCTTGCCCACTGTAAAAATAAAATAAAATTATATATATATAAACAATCTTCGTACACTGTAAAAAATATAATATAAAATTAACAATTAGAATGGGGACCATTAAACGTAAGGAGGGGAAGGGGTGAATGACATAACGCGTGCGCGTTAGGTTATAGGGTCTGTCGTTGAGTCAAGTGGCTTGATTTCGATTTCCCGATTATGTGTGCCTGTCTAACCTCGTGGGTTTGCTCCGTATCCTCAGGTTTTCTCTCACAACTAAAGATCCCTACAAGCAAGCGAATTATTGAGAGAAAATTAAGCAATACGTTATTCCTGATATGAGGGAGTCTGTGTCAGTGAACGTTAAACCCCATAGTTTGTATCTCTCTCTCTCTCTCTCTCTCTCCCTCTCCCTCTCTCTCTCTCTCTCTCTCTCTCTAATCATAGCACAAATGATTTATTCATTGGCCCAACTGGTGTATAAAAGTAGGACATGTCTGTTGGATATAATATTATAATAAATAACAAGATATACTGACCTGTCTAAACCATTCTTTCTTGGTACTAGCTATCTCATCATACGTATTGGCCATCATAGCAATTAACATATTGATTAATAACAGAGTCACCAATAACATATAAACCACAAACACTGTCTATAAAATATAATACAAACACAATCTATAAACCACAAACACAATCTATAAAATATAATACAAACACTACACATACTATCTATACTACAAACACTATACACACTATCTATAAAATATAAAATACAAACACTATCTATAAAATACAAACACTATACACACTATCTATAAAATACAAACACTATCTATAAAATACAAACACTATCTATAAAATACAACACAAACACTACACATACTATCTATACTACAAACACTATCTATAAAATACAAAAACTATCTATAAAATACAAACACTATCTATAAAATACAACACAAACACTACACATACTATCTATACTACAAACACTATACACACTATCTATAAAATATAAAATACAAACACTATCTATAAAATACAACACAAACACTACACATACTATCTAAAAAAAAAATATAATACAATCACTATCTATAAAATATACATTACAATATACAAACACTGTAAATACTATCTATAAAATACACTACAAACACTGTCTATAAAATACACTACAAACACTATCTATAAAATATAATATACACACTACAATCACTATCCATAAAATACCAACTACAAACAATATCTATAAAATACAACACAAACACTACACATACTATCTATACAATATACACACACTATCTATAAAATACAATACACACACACTTCAACCACTATCTATCAAGTACAACATTTTATTTCATTTAACAACAACCGATTATCAGTTTCGATGACTTCGGAGATGCTTCAATATTAGAATGCCGCTTTACCTTTCCAATGGCTTCATGTTTCGAATCTTGAAAAGTTTCGTAAATATCTTCAAACTTTCCTACAGACATGATGAACATACCCATGTGGGCTTCCAGGAATGTCCGGAACTGATTGTCAGTATGGGTACGTCTAAATACCAAAAACATGGCTGAAATATAAACAAGTACAAAAGAAATATAAACTAAAATATTTCATTCAAATATAATTTACTTAAAACACAAGACGATATGTTGAGTAATTTACCATAAACTGGGGATCACGGTGACTAAGTGGGTAAGACGCTGGCACGCTTGCCTGGAGGTCGAGTGTCCGATGCCTGCATTGGCCGAGAAAGTTCATCCAGATTTTCCGGCGTGGTTCTCCCTTAATTGTCAGTGATGCAGGACGGAGGGGCTGACAAGGAAAGGTGTAGAGTCGTTCGGATGGGACGTAAAAGATCCCTTGACAGTTGGAATTCGATATAAGAGTAGGCCATAGTGCCGCTGTCCGGGCAAAATTTCCCTCATAGCACACCGTATGGCGTATGCCCGTCTTCATTAGCCCAGTTCGGAGAAAAACAGTAGGACGTTAAACCCCATTTCATTTCATTTCATTACCATAAACTAAAATATCCCATTCAAATATAAATCAAATTTTAGCGATTTAGGATCCCTTACAAATTACTATATTGTAAAAGTTGAACCAGGAATAGGAATATCAGTCCAAGCATAGTTCAATTCCAATCAATATTTACAACGATAGGATGAACTCATTCCATTATCAATCTTTCATTACCGTGAAAGAAATTGATTGGCCTGTTTGAAATCCGTTTCTGTCGTAGCCGTAGAGCCGCAATCCGGGCAAAATGCCTCTCATTAGCCCAATCGGTGCAGAACCTCCTAAAGGTTATACGACCTTTATTTAAGAAATGTCGAGTCATTTTTCTCTCTCGCATCTTTTCACCAAGCTCGAAATAAAGGTAATTTTAATATTTACCTTGTGAGAAACCAATCACAAAAATGCCGTAAATTATCACAAAACGTAGTAAATCCCTCCTTATCATTTTATAAATCATAACGACATACGGACCCATTAATTTGAACCCTCTGGAAAAAATACAGATAAAAAAAACATTAGTTTAAAAGTATTAGAAAAATATTTTCTTAATTTAAACAGATAGACAAATCTTAAAGTTACAATTTCATATTTTCTAAGAAAGTCAAAACATAATTATTTCTATGTCTTTTGCTCAATAGGTTGTCAACTCACTATTATACGATCATAGGTTATTTTCTCACACTTAAAAATCTTCACACCGGAAATAACACAATTACCTCCCTTGTTTTCCTATACCCCACCATGGAATAGCTATCTTCAAACATTTGAAGTTGAAAATGATATTTTTGCCAATTTCTCAGCTGGCAATAGTGAATTATAGGATTAATAGGATTATTCTTTAACAAGGTAGGACTGTTCATAGATACCATCTATTTTAAGGCTTTATTTTAATAAATTTTAAAAATATAACGTAAAAATATGAAATTGCAACTTTAACAAACTTAAACCAGATTTTAAAAAAAAAAGACGTTCAAAACACAAACAAGACATGTACCAAAATCAATAGTTGTCGTCCTTAAAAAATAAGGAATACATACGACCAGATCCAAGATGATCCATTCAGAATTGCGTCCTGTATACGATAGACATAAAAAATGGGCGTTTCTCTGCCCCTGGGGTCGGGACGTGTACCAAAATCAATAGTCGTCGTCCTTAGGAAATAAGGAATACATATGACCAGATCTAAGATGATCCATTAAGAAATGTGGTTTGTAGGCAACACAGAGAAAAATGGGTGTGGTTCATCCCCTGGGGGAATATCCCTAGGGTAGGCGTCACACACACAAATTGTGCGTAGCTCTGTCCCTGGGGATCTGGCATGCACCAAAAAAACATAGGGGTCATCCTGTGGGTATAAGGAACAAGTATGAAGGTTTTCAAGATGATCCATCAAGAATTGTGGCACACAGCCACACAAAGAGATAATGGACGTGGGTCTGCCCCTAGGGGCTGGGCATGCACCAAAAACAATAGGAATGACCCTTAAGGTATATGGAATACGTATGCAAACCTCCAAGGCCATCCGTCAAACAATGCGGCAACAGACGCATACAACATTTGGTTACAACAATGGCGTTTCCGCCTACTTTTCACCCAATTCCAGCTGTCAGATAATCTTTAACTTGCACATGGTTAGCGTGCGCGCGCTGTATCATAAAGTCTGTCATTGAGTCGACTGGCGTGGTTTCGAATACCCGGTTGTACGTGACAAGGAGTAGGGTCGCCTGTCCAACCTCGTGGGTTTTCTCCGGGTCCTCCGGTTTCCTCCCACTCCTAAAGACCCCTACGCGCAAGCCAATTATTGGAATACAATTAAACCATATGTTAGTCCCGAAATGACCTAGTTTGTGTCAAGTGGACGTTAAACCCCATTTCTCTCTCTCTCTCTTTCTCTCTCACTTGCACGAAAAGGTATAGCCGTGTCCGTGGTTTTTCTTTCCATTCGAACGAGTAGAATTAATAACAAATAAAGCTCGTAATTTAAATAATATCGTGAAATATTTGTTTTACTTACTGACAGAGGAAGAGAAAATATGGGGTGGTCAGGAGAATAACAAAAACTGCGGCACAATCTTCGACAAGAGGTTGGCAGGAAAACCGTAGTGGTAACAACACAACGACCACCATCGAGCAAGCAAACAAAAATAACCCTTTTACTGGTACGTTTCTCTGTAACATAAAGTGTGAAGATGCAGTGATGACGGGTTTCTCCGTAACATAAAGTATGAGAAGGTTAGAACTGCAATGCAGTGATGACGGGTTTCGCTGTAACATAAAGTATGAGAAGGTTAGAACTGCAATGCAGTGATGACGGGTTTCGCTGTAACATAAAGTATGAGAAGGTTAGAACTGCAATGCAGTGATGACGGGTTTCGCTGTAACATAAAGTATGAGAAGGTTAGAACTGCAATGCAGTGATGACGGGTTTCGCTGTAACATAAAGTATGAGAAGGTTAGAACTGCAATGCAATGATCACGGGTTTCGCTGTAACATAAAGTATGAGAAGGTTAGAACTGCAATGCAATGATCACGGGTTTCGCTGTAACATAAAGTATGAGAAGGTTAGAACTGCAATGCAGTGATGACGGGTTTCGCTGTAACATAAAGTATGAGAAGGTTAGAACTGCAATGCAGTGATGACGGGTTTCGCTGTAACATAAAGTATGAGAAGGTTAGAACTGCAATGCAGTGATGACGGGTTTCGCTGTAACATAAAGTATGAGAAGGTTAGAACTGCAATGCAGTGATGACGGGTTTCGCTGTAACATAAAGTATGAGAAGGTTAGAACTGCAATGCAGTGATGACGGGTTTCGCTGTAACATAAAGTATGAGAAGGTTAGAACTGCAATGCAGTGATGACGGGTTTCGCTGTAACATAAAGTATGAGAAGGTTAGAACTGCAATGCAGTGATGACGGGTTTCGCTGTAACATAAAGTATGAGAAGGTTAGAACTGCAATGCAATGATGACGGGTTTCACTTGAGACCTTTAAGACCTAAATGAGTAAAGATAAATGAGTGAAATATGGTTTAACCTTTTACTTGTCTGCTCGTTAATAAAGACGGACATATGCCATACAGTATGCTATAAAAGGACAGGTAAAGGTTTCTGAAAAGCAGACCAACGTCATACCATCATAACGAAATGAAATGAAATGGGGTTTAACGTCCTACTGTTCTGCTCCGAACTGAGCTAATGAAGACGGGCATACGCCATGCAATGTGCTAGGAGGGAAATTTTGCCCGGACAGCAGCACTAGGGCCTACTCTTATATCGAATTCCAACTGTCAAGGGGTCTTTTACGTGCAAGCCAATGTGTACACGGGACCTTGGTTTTTCGTCTCATCCGAACGACTAGACAGCTTTCCTTGTCAGCCCCTCAGTCCTGCATCACTGACAAGGGAGAACGACGCCGGAAAATCTGGATGAACTTTCTCTGCCAATGCAGGGATCGAACATTCGACCTCCAGGCTAGCGAGCCAGCGTCTTACCCACTTACCCACCGTGATCCCCCCCTCATCATAAAGACTAGATATTGTTTGTTGTAAAGTTATCCATGCACAAACATCTGAAACATGCACAAACATCTGAAACATATAAAAACTCTGTTCTCTCTCATTCCAGATTACATTCTAACATTAAACATCTGAAACATACAAAACTCAAACATCTGAAATATACAATGGCGCTCTATTTTGGAGAAAAGCAACATTCAACGAATAATATAGGTGGCGCTGGCTTGTTTGGGATATATCCTAAATATGGTCTGCAGAGGATACATAATATTGAACCATATTAGAAATGGAGTTTGGGAGTGACTTCCCAAACTTCCCACTTTAAAATGCTATTGCATTTCAAATGATTTTGAATTTATCCTTATATATTACATGTATATATATGTCTTTGTAGCTTAGGAGGGACCTATGGAAGATTCGATTTTTTTTTCTTTGTTTTTTTTGAAAACTAAATACGTTGCCTCATTAAATAAAGTTTTTATTATTATTATTAGTAGTAGTAGTATTCCTTTTACAGATTCCATTTTAAATTCCTTTAAAATATATTAAATTACTGTCAGAAGAATTGATAATTATCCCACCGCCTTTCTGGCCAGTTTTGCTGACAGTGTTAACGGTGTTAATCCTTGATTGTTTTTTTATGCTCAGATCTGCACCTTCATTCTTTAAACGTTGAAGCAATTCCTGAAAACAAATACCAAAAATTAAAATTAACAAGGTCAAGCAAACTATGGACCGAACATAACGTCTTGCAGTCATCTTGGAGTTGCGCTGACGTCATATCAACGATCAAAAATCGCAATAAATGCGAAATTGTCCAAGGAACAAACATGTAAGGTTTTATTTCGATGCAGTTGTATTGGCCTGAGTTGTTTGCGAATACGCCCTACTGTTTTGCCCCGAACTGGGTTAATGAAGACGGGCATGCGCCATACAATGTGCTATGAGGGCAAATTTGCCCGGACGTCCTACTCTTATATCGAATTCCAACTGTCAAGGGATCTTTTACGTGCACGCCAATTTGTACACGGGACCTCGGTTTTTCGTCTCATCCGAATGACTAGACAGCAGTAGAATTCCCACAGTTGAAATATTCAATGAACGGTAGATGGAAACACTCTTGTTCAACCACAATTTCCCTTATAACCCACTGTATAGCATTCGTTCGTTTGTTCCTGGGGTTTTACGTTCATTTCTGCCAGGGGTAATATCTTAGACTGTATAGCACATGCCCTTCTTTATTAGACCAACCGAAGCACACTGCATGGCGTAAGCCCTTCTTCATTAACCCAGTCGGAACAGTACAGTAGAACGTTAAGCCCCGTTTCATTTTTTGAAAGTCTTTATATGCCTTTCAGAAATGAAATGAAATGGGGTTTAAAGTCCTACTGTTCTGCTCCTATATTGGGCTAATGAAGACGGGCATAAGCTATACAGTGTGCTATGAGGGAAATTTTGCCCGTGCAGCGGCACTATCGCCTACTCTTATATCGAATTCCAACTACCAGAGGATCTGTAACGTGCATTCCAATGTATACACGGGACCTCGGTTGTTCGTCTCATCCGAAGGACTAGACAGCTGTCCTTGTCAGACCCTCCATTCTGCACCACTGACAAGGGAACCCTATATGCACTTCAGTGTGCATTTAGAGATATTTTATCTGGCCAGCTAACATTTCCCTTCTAACACAGTGCATGGTATTATCCGTCTTCATTAGCCCAGTGGGTGTATTGTGAGGAATATTGTGCATTTACAGGTATTATTTAATTATTTAATTTACCTTTTTATCGTGTATAACGGCCATATGTAATACCGTATTACCATTAGAATCTTGTAAGCGAGTCAGCGGTAGATGGTTCGGCCTCTTTCTTTCTTTATCTTTCTCTAGAATCCATGAAATATAATCTTGATTGTCGGAACCTGAACTTGATTTGTCTGAATCTGAACATGGTTTATGTAAACTTACAGCAAAACTGAGAGGATATTCTCCGAAGTACGCGTTGCTGAAAAAATAAAAATAAAATAATAAAATAGATATACACATAAAACAGCGACATAATTTAGTGCATACTTTTGACATTAGAAACAATATAGCATTTCTTTCAAAACCGGATAATGTGATACAAAAATCAAACCATTATGACATTATAAAAAGATGCCGCTAAAACTGTGTAAAATAGAGAGAAACGGGGTTTAACGTCCACTCGACACAAACCAGGTCATTTCGGGACTAACATATGGTTTAATTTTATTTCAATAATTCGCTTGCGCGTAGGGGTCTTTAGCAGTGGGAGGAAACCGGAGAACCCGGAGAAAACCGACGAGATCGGACAGGCGATCCTACTCCTTACCACATACAACCGGGGAAACGAAACCCCGCCAGTTGACTCAATGACAGACCGTATGATATAGCGCGCGCGTGCTAACCATTCGGCCATCCACCCCCACCCCCCTCCGGTAACCATTAAAAATGTCAACCAATGAAACGGAAACGGCTGCATCCGTTTAAGTTAGATTTTAAATCGCAACCATTGAAACAGCTGCATCCGTTTAAGTTTTAGTGAATGTCGCCTCTGTGGTTGGTACTTACCCCTTATAGTTTGTTTTTGTCGAGACCTTGATCAATTCATTAGGTGGATCATCAGTTCGGGATTTTTTCTGATCTTCAGGAAAGAAGAATCGTCCACAGGCTCTGGCTCGACAATCAGCCCCTTTATCTAAAACAAACTTCACCATTTCACTATCCTCATTTGCAATCGCCATGTGAAGTACATTCTCGCCTGTTGTTCAGAAATAAGAAAAAATAATAAGCAACCACGTGTTTTATGAATCGCAATACTACTGTACATAAATTTCAATTCATAGCCATACTGGATATTGATGTCACCAGAGAATCCCCAATCAATCCCATCCGCTCTTTAAAAAGAAGGTTTCGCCCTTGAACGACAAATATGGTGAAGCTTTCTATTGGTTGTAATCATGGGGTATCTGGAATCGAGAGAGAGAGAGAGAGAGAGAGAGAGAGATGGGTTTAACGTCCACTCGACACAAACTAGGTCATTTCGGGACTAACATATGGTTTAATTTTATTTCAATAATCCGCTTGCGCGTAGGGGACTTTAGCAGTGGGAGAAAATATCGAAAGGTTGCAAGACTGTTGGTACGAGGTTATTTCAAGCTTAAAGCTGTATTTCCAAATAGTAACTTAGGATAAGGACCACTCTTAAACCACTGGCGAATGTTCGTTTACACCTCACTATAGAGGTCTTATTTCCAATAAAAGTATGGCAACTTTGGTATAATTATATGGAAAGTAGAGATATCCAATCTTACTAGAAAAATACTGGATTCTCTGAAAAACACTCATGAAGCGTATACAGGACAAAAATTGTAAGGGTTCCCTTAATCGACAGCCCGACGATTAGGAATTTCTGCACGCGTGATGTCAAAGGTCACACGCCAACATTGAGCGTTTGAGGTACAAGTTGATAAACTTTATGAAGAGTTAGACGTACAACACTTTCTGAGATAAAAAATGACGGAAAAAGACGCGGGTAGTGGATAATCCGAGAATTTAATTAGGATTCGATATTTGTAATAAATAGTAAGCGATTAAAGACAACATCGTCTTATGTATGCAATGAATTCTCCTCTGACTCCCAAGACGTGACGTAAACATGACCTGGTTTGATCGAATTTTAATAGCAGGACATTCCTTGACAATTACAATGTTTGAGAAGGATTTGAAGCAAAATTATGACAAATTAATTAGTTTGAATATGTTTTTAGTCCATATATAAAATTAAATCACCCAGTTTGAACGCGGGAATGTATCTTTAACATGTACCTATAACAAGAAACCAGGGGCCCCAGAGTAAACTTATGAGGTTGGTCAGGTGACCCTACTCCTTTTCATGTACAAGCCTGGGATCGAAGCCACGCCAGCTGACCACTTGATCACTACTCCTACCTCCCCAATTATCTACACAGTGGCCTAAGATCAAATCTGCAGTTTGTCTTAATATTTAGATCAAACCCACCATTGACCAGGATGAGTATGGCGTCACCTCAGCCATTTGTTCCCAAGCAACAAATATGCCAAGTTCCATTTAGATCGAACATGAATTGGCGAAACCTAAAGCCCGTTTTTGTTTTTGTTTTTTGCTAGTTACATGTGAACGTTCCTATTACATTTGCATTAGACCGACTATTTGGCCAACGAAAACAACGCGAATACAGACCAGTGGAAAACTGGCATTATTAGGCTTTTTTTTCGTAGAGATTCTCCCCAAAGAACAATTATATGAGTAGCGGTTGGGGATTAGCCCTGTGTCCAAAATGAGTAGCGGTTTGGGATTAGCCCCGAGTCCAAGGTCAATAGCGATTGGGGATTAGTTCCGGGTCCAATATGAGTAGCGGTTGGGGATTAACCCTGGGTCCAAGAACAACAATATGAGATATGAGTAGCGGTTGGGGATTAGGTCCGAGTCCAAGATGAGTTGCGGTTGTAGATTAGCTCCGGGTCCGAAAAGGGCTCGGACTACAGCTTACCGTAGTATTCGTCACCATTGTAGATATCTTTCACCAGATTGGGGTAAATGTCCATTAAACGTTTGGCCAGTTCTCTGTGAGTCTGGGTTGGGTTCAAGAAACACAGGTGAAGGATCGTCTCGCCTACCGTACCACGTTCGTCCAATTTCCAACACAATTCACGTTGTTTACCCGAATCTGGAAAATCAATAAATTATAAATTAAAAGGTCCAGGTTTGACAGAGTATCTATATAGAAATACTGGAATAAAGTTAAAGTAGCTAAGTCTCTAACTCAATATCATCCAAAGCTTTACACGTTGGACTTACCGGGAAAATCCAGGCTTCTGATATCCAATAAACATTGTAACATTGGTACACGAATCGTGTACCATAGAGCGTTTTAACGTCATTTGTAACAAGTGACCAGAAAGAACGCGGCTAAAGCGCAATAGACTGGAATAACCAGACGCTAGACATTGCCATTCGGTTGAGACCCATGCCATATTTCGCTGGACATAACTGATTTGAAATTAGAGTCCAACAATACTTTTAATATTAAAGTATTTTCAATATGATGCGCGCGCGTGTGTGTTTGTAAGTGTGGGTGTAGATGTGGATGTGTGTAAGGTCGGGGGGGGGGGGGTGAGGTATTTTTCCATAATCAGTCAAGTATGAGTACTACAAATTTTTACACAGGACTTTCCTACATACGTTTTCCGTGTCAGACGCCATTCTAATTAACTAGGCTAGGGTTTCCGTTCCAAATGCATGCATAAAAATAAAATTGGATGTAGGGTTAGGTTTAAGAATTTGGGAGAGAGGTTAATTCTCCACTGACCTAGGATGATGAAAATTTGGTTCGTGGTATTTCCTAGTTTTATTAAAAATACATGCAATACATTAGACACAAACACGATACATAATGTATCTTTAAAATTTAATTGAAATTAATGAACTTCAACTTCCTATATCCTTCTGTGATCCATTCAGACTAAAGCGGGAGGGAGGGAAATGGAGTTTAACGTCGACTCGACACAAACAAGGTCACTTAGGACTAACATATGGTTCAATTTTATTTCAATAATTCGCTTGCACGTAGGGGTCTTTAGCAAGGGAGGAAACCGGGAGACCCGTATAAAACTCACGAGGTTGCACAGGCGACCCAACTCCTTGTCACGTACAACCATGCCAGTTGCCCTAATGACAGACTTTATGATACAGCGCGCACCTGCTAACCATTCAGCCATCCAACCCCGCGATAAAAACCGTGTCACCGTGTAGCCTATGAATTGGCTCTACTCGGATAATCCCTATATGAACTAAACTGGATGTCGAGGTGACATGAACTCAAATTTTATTCAAATTTACAAACCGGGTCGTGTTGTTTTTTTGTTTGCAGGAAATTTCTCTTCTTGTGGTAGATTTTTACTCTGGGATTTCCTGTATTCGATTACTTCGGATATATCTACAAATAGTCCATCTCCATCAGCGTACAGATATTTCCATATTTTTTTTATTTCGTTGTCTAACGTATAATAATCGTGATTGCATGAAGCCAGTTTCATTAATTCTATCAGTTCTCCTCCACCTTTCATATCCACTAATTTATACAGTGGTCGTTCTTGACCTTGTTTTTTTACGTTACACGACACCGACTGTGCCATCTTGCTAATACTAGTAACAAATTACTCCCCGATAACTCACAAAAAATAAAAATAACAAATTACACCTTAGTAACTCATAAAAACCACATACTTTTAACTCACAAAATTTAATTGTTAGAAACCACACCCCATTAGTTCACAAAATCTAAATAAACAGATATTTGCTCTTTTATTTGGTTAGGGTCACGTGGTGGGTTGTGTATTATTGTTCTATATTAAGATTTGTATTCATTTCAAAGTTGAGTGAATCGCTATACAAGTTGATAATGCTCGCTATACAAGTTTATAAATAGATAATGAAAAAATGAATCTATTGAAAATTTCTGTTACATTACCGAGATGGGCATTCATAATACTGACTTTATCATTCATAATAGCGGGCTGGTTATTTCGTAATACCCATATAGTCAAATTGCTAAACGAGAACGTCAAAATTATGGAAGACCAAACTGCTCTTACAAAAATACATTTTACAAATCTGATACGACAAATGTCTGATTTGTAAAAAAAATATTGATTTTAATATACAAATGTTAATTTTAGTGTACAAATGTCGAAATACGACAACAAATGTAGAGATACGAATTAAGGGCTATGAATCAAGAACTAAGGACTAAGAACACCGAATAAAGAGCTGGTTGGTCTTCCATACAAAATGATAAAATACCCATTCTTCAAGGTCATACTCATCTCGGGGTGGGGGGAGGAGGCTAGTGGAACATTGCCTAGACAAAAGTATTTTTTCAATGTATACACAAATGCTCACTTCGTTTTTATCTATCGTGTTTTTTTTTCACAATTTAAATTTGACAAACCCTAAAAACGCCATAACAGTAGGTAGTCACGGTGGCTCAGTGAGTAGGACGTTGGCTTGCTAATGGTGGTCCGGTGTTCGATTCCTGTTCATCGGAATTTTCCGGCATGCTTTCCCCTTGTTTGTGGTGCAGGACACAATGGCGTGCACGTAAAAGGAAGTTGGAATTCGATTTAAGGTCCAATTGACACAACTATGTGATTCCAAACATTCGTTTGGACATGTGGATCTTAACAAAGTGGGTGGACATCAATAGAAGTGACTGGCGACCTTACTCTTTGCTGTGTACAAGCTTTGTTTTTAAACCGAGTCACTTGAGTCATTGACAGACCTTAAGATATAAAGTGTATGAATCAGATTATAAGGTCTATCATTGAGTCAATCACCCAACAACCGTTTGCAAAGAGAGTGAGGGGTGGATGGCCGAATGGTTAGCATGTGCGCGCTGCGCTGTATCATACGGTCTGTCATTGAGTCAACTGGCGGGGTTTCGACTCCCCGGTTGTACATGGCAAGGAGTAGGGTCACCTGTCCAACCTCGTGGGTTTCCTCCGGGTCCTCCGGTTTCCTTCCACTGCTAAAGACCCCTACGCGCAAGCGAATTATTGAAATAAAATTGAACCATGTGTTAGTCCCGAAATGACCTAGTTTGTGTCGAGTGGACTTTAAACCCCATTTCTCTCTCTCTCTCTCTCTCTCTCAAAGAGAGTGGACAACAAAGAATCAAGAGAGAGAGAGAGAGAGAGAGAGAGAGAGAGAGATGGGGTTTAACGTCCACTCGACACAAACTAGGTCATTTCGGGACTAACACATGGTTCAATTTTATTTCTATAATTCGCTTGCGCGTAGGGGTCTTTAGCAGTGGGAGGAAACCGGAGGACCCGGAGAAAACCCACGAGGTTGGACAGGCGACCCTACTCCTTGTCACGTACAACCGGGGATTCGAAACCACGCCAGTTGACTCAATGACAGACTTAATGATACAGCGCGCACGTGCTAATCACTAAGCCACCCAACCCCCCGAGAGAGAGAGAGAGAGAGAGAGAGAGGGGGATTAACATCAACTCGACACAAACCAGGTGAGAGATTAAAGTCCACTCGACACAAACCAGGTCATTTCGGGATTAACACATGGTTAAATTTTATTTCAATACATTGTACTTCGCTTGCGCGTAGGAGTCTTTAGCAGTGGGAGGAAACCGGGGAATCTTTTTGTTTGTTCCGTTTTTTTGGGTTTTTTTTTTTTTGTTTGTTTTAATATTTTAGATCTTTGGAGCTTTGGACTAGAATCTACTGGTTTTGAATCTTAGCATGGGCTGAAAAAAACCCCATATGGATTTTATAAACTTATGTTCCCGTTTGTCTCAGGTAGCACCTGTTGTACCTAGTCCTTCGGATTGTACGGAAAACCCGGGCCCTGTTTCACGAAATTTTAACTAAAGATAAAATCCAAATTTTAGTAGATACTTCAATTTTGATTGGCTAAGCACTAAAATCAATCTAATATTATCCAATCAAATTACTAAAATTTAGATTTTATCTTAGTTAAAATGTCGTGAAACAGGCCCCTGGGTCTATGCATGTGCACAGTGACATGCACGTAAAGGAGGCCTTGTCAAATGGAATATGATAATGGGCAGGCAGGAATAAAATTGCAGCCATAGAAACAAAATAATCAACAGTGACACCATAAACCAATCTCTCTCTCTCTCTCTCTTTCTCTCTCTCTCTCCCTCTCTCTCTCTCTCTCGACCTTGACACCCTTAAGTAAATAAGATTGATGTAAACAACATGTCACTTGTACAACTTGACTTTATCGAAGTTAGACGATTTGATAAGGCCAGCTTCAAGTTTGGTTAAAGTTTACGAGATGTAACCCCGAACCTAGCGCTAACGTTTACCCTAAACCTAACCTACAATCTCGCCAACAATCACGTGCCCTAACTTTATTTATATCTCAACTTTTAGATTTAGCCGTAGGCCACCATATACACATCCGGGTTTGTATGTACGAAGGATACTAAGTATTGTTTAATGGTCGAGAGCGAGACATTAAGTTTTATATTGTATAGGCCCGAATGTTTTTACAATATATTACGCAATGTCGTAAGCTCGAGACCATTAAACATCTTAAAATACTGACACCCAGCACGAGCTTTAGTCCAATATCTCACTGGTTTGAATAAAGTACTATTGGCAAGTTGCCCGTGCGATTATTTGAAATAATGGTACGCCAACATCAAAGGGTGACGTCACATCTGTATTTTAAATATAGTTATATTTGTATGCATAACAGACAGACGACACGTCAGTTACGCTTCGTTATAACGCGTGCTTCTTACCAATATGACGTATTACAGGTGTTTATTTTAATGAAACATGACGTATTACAGGTGTTTTTTTTAAATGAAACGTAACGTATTACAGGTGTTTTAATTAAACATATAAATATGAAAACTTTCAGGTAAGACCTGATATTACTTTCATTTTTCTAACAGACAGATTTATACATAATATTGTCTATGTTTATTGATAACAACGTTTCACTATAGGTGCTTATTGCTTGATATCGGGGAGAGACGTAAAAAACAACTGGGTTAATGAAGACGGGCATACGCCATACAACGTACTATTAGTAAAGGGGCCATGTAGTTATTAAATGTCAGCTAAAGATTGCCAGTAATTTGTATTCTTGTAGAGAAGTATGTCACTAAATATATTAGTATGACTGATCACAAGTGAACGAGAGAGAGAGAGAGAGTTTAACGTCCACTCGACACAAACTAGGTCATTATGGGACTAACATGGTTCAATTTTATATCAATATTTCTCGTGAGGGTTTTTTTTAGCAGTGAGAGAAAACCGGAGGACCCACAGAAAACCCACGAGGTTTGGGCGTTTGACAGGCGATCCTAGTCCTTGTCACGTACAACTGGGGAATCGAAACCATGCCATTTGACTAAATGACAGGCCTATGATACATCGCGCACGTGCTAATCATTCGGCCATCCAACCACCCAAGTGAACAAGAGTTATGTAAACAGTTTTAAAAGGTAACATCCACAGGCGATATACAATCAATTAACATCCAAATGTCCTCTACCGACTGGGTTTACATCCACAGTAATGTGACCTTGATATTCACCCCACCAGAACTACTATAGCCAAGGACCCTTTCCCGGTCAACAGCGGGATCGAATACTGGACCATGCAGTAATTATATATAGAATATATATATAGAACTCGACCTTCGTTTTTTATACTTTCGATAGCCTCTAATGCACTAAGATCTGACCGGTTGCATTGGAAGGTCGAGTCAGGGGTTGTATGGGCGGCTTTTAATCAGAAATGAAATGAAATGAAATGGGGTTTAACGTCCTACTGTTCTGCTTCTAAACCGCGCTAATGAAGACGGGCATACGCCATACAATGTGCTATGAGGGAAATTTTGCCCGGGCAGCGGCGCTACTGCCTACTCTTACATTGAATTCCAACTGCCAAGGGATCTTTTACGGGCACGTCAATGTGTACACGGGACCTCGGTTTTTCGTCCCATCCGAACGACTAGACAGCTGACCTTGTCAGATTGGAACAAGTAGGCTAAAATAATTGACATGAACCGAGGTGACTCAGTGAGTAAGACGTTAAATCCATTCCGCTCCTCTGCCACAGCCCGCTTTCCGGGCACAATTTCTCTCATAGCACACTACATGACGTATGTCAATTTTCACCATCCCAGCCGGAGCAGAAAGATGGGACGTTAACTCATGTCGTTAAAGGGAAAATTCTGTTATGCGTTTTGTATTTTAATCAAATATTTTTTTTTATATAGGTTTTAAAAAATGATCTACACCAGTTCATGATAAAAGATAGCAGATCATGGGGAACATAGCGGGTTTGTTTAATCGCAATAAAGATTACCATACATGGAAAATACAAAATAGAGAAACTGCATCCAATGCTGTGTATTCGTATGTCAATTTAGATGGCACGGGGATATTGCTGGATCTGTTGCGAGATGAGAATGGACAGAAGAAAGTTAGAGATATGATCGCTAAAGAAATAACATCGGGATATATTACTGGCGAAGATGAAGTGAGTATAGTGCACTCGGTAAACACTGCCTCTATTTAACAACAAAGATCTGGCATGAAACGGGGGGTGGGGAAGGGGGTGGATGGCCGAATGGTTATCACGTGCGCGCTGTATCATAATGTCTGTCATTGAGTCAACTAGCGTGGTTTCGAATCCCCTGTTGTATGTGAGAAGGATTAGTGCCGCTTGTCCTACCTCGTGGGTTTTCTCCGAGTCCTCCGGTTTCCTCCCACTACTAAAGACCCCTCCGCGCAAGCAAATTATTGAAATAAAATTGAACCATGTGTTAGTCCCGAAATGACCTAGTTTTAGTTGAGTAAATGTTAAACCCCATTTCTCTCTCTCATTAGCTCAGTCGGAGCAGAACAGAAGGACGTTAAACTGTTTTCTCTCAATAATATTTGTTTAGGAACAGATTGAAGAACAGAGAAAACTCGGTAGATTCCGGGTTATGTCGAGAGCTATCCAGAGATCAGTATCGGCATTATCGCTCTCAAGGAAACTCAACGTTGAAGTCACAGCAAATCAAATAAAGGTAAAATTCTACTTTCGATTTAAATGTAGTGATATAACAAACTTTACTTTCATTAGCATGTCTGGTGCAGAACAGTAGAACCGTAAACCGCAATCATCGCATTCATTCATCGGTCATTCATCGGTCATTCATCGCATACATTCATTCATTCATTCATTCCAATAATCCCCTAACCAAGTTCAATATTTTCCAAGTTTAAAGATACATTATGGGATATTAGATAAAGAGCTGACAGTTCTCACTATAATAGTTTAAAAACTAGATAATGTAAGTGGGAATTTGCTGAAAATTCCAGTCAAATTGATCCTCTGTGAACCGAGAATTTAGCGATTGAATTTTTGGCCTACCCTCGATCATCATTACGATAAAAAACAAAGTCTCGATGATCCAGTTTTTGATTTAATCATCAGAGAGCGTTGAGTAGCAGATCGGATGCTAATCCAGTTAATATCACAGGCTAGCGATGACATCGAGAGTTGATTATGGTCTGGATAAGTTAATAAATGTCTGATTAATAATTTAGATAACATTTCAGGCCTAAAGAAAGACCTGTAATAGGCAGATTTAGCTCTTGCATAATATATGTTTAATCGACATATGAATACTTTCAAGGGTCACACAAAGAAATAATTATATCATCCTTTTTCCTAAATATCTGGCAAAGAACAGACTCTAGTCTAGTCGATCAGATGGGATGCAAAACCATGGTCCAATGTATGTGTGGACAGAATCATCGCTATCCGGGAAAAAATCCCATCGTAGAGCTCTGTATGGTGTATTCCCGTGTTCATTGGTCCGATTCGTAAACCCTATTTCATTTTATTTCTGTTTCCATTTATTCCTGTAATAGTATTTATTTCATTCTTCAGCCACAATGTTGGAAGGAAAATAAACGTGGAGGCGTCGGTGAAACATCTTTCCACCTGTGTTTCCTGAAAGGTACACCAGAACACCTGGAAATTGCTAGAATATTCCTGGAAGTCCATCCGTCTATGGCTAATGATGTATACCTTGGTGACGAGTACCTAGGTGAGTACAAACGTAAAAACAGCAAACCGTTAGTCAACTCCCTAAATAGGTCTATACGAACAGTACTGGATTGGGTAGACACGTTAAAACAGCTAACCGTTAACTCGGGGTATTATTCTAGAGTGAATAATATTATAGTGTTATTTTATGTTGTGTTACTGTAGAGTGATTAGGATATTGCTGTGTAATATTTATGAAAGATTTTGCTGTGTAATTATAGGTGAGGGTGGTTTACATCTAGCTATAGCTAAAGGTAATCTAAAAGCTGTACAGCTGTTGGTGGAGAATGGTGCTGATGTCAATCAGAGAGCCACCGGTCAGTTCTTTCAACCAGAAGATGTGAAGCACGGCAAAGACAGAAAACAGACAAACTATGAAGGTATTCAAAAAATTAAAAATTTGTTTATACTCGCATGTTGGACCTAATCCCCACTCATGCTCTCATCTCTTCTTCCCTTATTATTGTTCGTCTTCTTGTTCGTCTTGTTCTTGTTCATCTGGTTCTTGTTCTTGTTCTTCTCGTTCGTCTTCTTGTTCTTATTCTTGTTCGTCTTATTCTCCTTGTTCTTGTTCTTGTTCTTGTTCGTCTTCTTGTTCTTGTTCGTCTTCTGGTTCTCTTCTTCCCTTGTTATTGTTCGTCTTCTTGCCCGTCTTGTCCTTCTTGTTCTTGTTCTTCTTGTCTCTTGTTCGTCTTCTTGTTCTTGTTCTTGTTCGTCTTCTTGCTATAATGTTCGTGTTCTTGTTGTTTCTATTCGCCTTGTTCGTCTTCTTGCTCTTGTTCAGTATTCTTCTTGTTCGCTTTGTTCGTATTCTTTTTCTTATTCGTCGTGTTCTTGTTGTTCCTATTCGTCTAGTTCGTTTTCTTGCTCTTGTTCGCTTTCTTGCTCTTGTTCGTTTTCTTATTCTTGTTCGTCTTACTCTTCTTTTTCTTGTACGTTTTGTTTGTATTCTTGCTACACTGTTAGAAATTTTTGTAAAATTACAGTAGTACAAGTAGTTTTTGTACCTTAATTATCGGTATGTTCACCACAATGTAGTAGTTTTACCAAGTCTGGCGTATTTTAACGGAGTTTTGTGTACGTTTATAGAGTTTCGTGTCTTTTTTTACAATAGACGGTGATGAAATCAAAGACACATTCAAAATCAGTAAAAATACATTCTTACATATGTAATATTTCCAAACTGAACTCAAAATAAACAAGCTTGCATGTAATTTTACAGATCTTACGTTTATTCACATTATTTTGTAAATTTACTTTTAGGTTAGAAATATAAATAAAATTACAGCAGTTCTCACTATAATAGTTAAAAACTAGATAATGTAATGGGAATATGCTGAAAATTTCTGTTAAATTGATCCCCTCGGAACCGAGATATTAGAGACTGAATGTTAGGCCTAGCCTCGATCATCATTACTTATTAAGTCAGTACGATACAAAAAACATAGTCTTGATTATCTATTTTTGAATTTAATCATTAATGAGCGTTGAGCCCCAGATCGGACTCAAATCCAGTGAAAATCCAACACATAAGATGGCATCCATGAGTTGATTATGGTCTTTTCATGTTAATAAATGTCTAATTCATAGTTTATAGAACATATCAGGCCTAAAGAAAGACCTGTAATAGGCAGATTTAGCTCTTGCATAATGTATGTTTAACTTATTGGTAGTTATCGTATTCGGTAAATTTATTGTCTCTTAGCATGCAATTTTACAGATTTTACGTTTACTCACATTATTTTGTAAACTTTCAGGTTAGAAATATAAGTAAATTTACAGCAATTAAATTTTTACCAAAAATGTTCGGAATGTTTACCAAAATGATGTATATTTACCAAGTTTCATTATTTTTTACAATAAACTTTGATGAAACCAAAGGCACATTAAACCCCGGTAAAAATACACGCGTAATATTTCAATATTGAAATGAAAATAGCAAAGCCAGTAGGTAATTTTACAGATTTACGTTTATTCACATTATTTTGTAAGTTTACTTATTGGTAAATTTACTGTCTCTTATGTAAATTTACTGTCTCTTATTTTATTTTAGTATTCCATAGCAACGAACCATTCCTAATAATTATTTTCTTATAGTATTCATTCTAATTTATTAACCATAATATGGACAATCACATGTATATTGCATGTTATATATATTTAATTTTCTTTATTTATACGATCCAAAACGTGTATTATTATTCATCGTACGTTGATCAGATTGTAAGTATGTTCATTAACGTATAAAAAAAATGTTTTGCTTTCTTGTCATAGATTGTATTATCTCGTAACCAAGGTCAATTGAAGACGGTTAATTAAACCGATTGGCCAGTGTTAGCTTGACTGTCTCTTGAGGGGGGTTACAATGCCTGCAGTAGACAGTACCACAAGCTTTCATCTAAAATCCTGGAACGGAAGTTAAAATCATTGTGTTTTTTCTAACATTTGTCTGTAATTTTTCATTTACTGCTTTTAGGTAAATTTACATTGGGAAGTCTAAAAACAAACTTACTGTAACCGTTCATTTACTTTGTTGCGGTGAATTTACAGTCCAAAGTTAAAAAACAAACTCATGTTATTTTCCATTTACTGTTTTAAGGTAAATTTACTCACAAAGTCAAATTACAGAAACTCTGTAATATTACAGCTGAATGTTTATTTACAGTAAATTTACTGGCAACTTTTGCTGCCAGTAATTTTCATGTAAATTTACCAGATTTTTTCTAACAGTGTATTCTTGACCTCTCGATGGAATCAACCGTATGATCACAACTGGACCTCTCATTGTAATCAACTGTTAATGGCTAGAACATGCTCGGAACTACAGAGTCGAACCTATATTATTATCACTAAACATGTTGTTATAAAATATACACCTGTTTGGATGAATCAGATCATTTACAGCTAGATGAACGGAAAGAGATGTGTATCTGTGGTTGAACAGAGTGTATCTGAAAACACACGATGCTAAAATTATGTTTAAAATTACCATCGTCATTCTCACAGTGTCTGGTCGTTGGGCTGGGACGAAAACTGTGGTCCCGCATACACGTTAGCGTGCACATGTAAAGAAGAAAATGAAACAAAATGGGATTTAACGTCCTTCATGCCCCTTGTCAGTGATGCAGGTCGGAGGCCCTTTTAGGGCATAATGTTTTTTCTTTATTGGACAATAAAACCAAGATTCCATACAAAGAACCCTTGAATAGTTTTGTCCATCTTCACTTGTCCGATTGGAGGTTTGTTTATTTTCAGGTTATGCGTACTATGGAGAATATCCCCTGTCGTTTGCTGCGTGTTTTCAGCATACAGATATTTATGATTATTTAATAGAGCATGGTGCCGACCCTAATAATAAAGATGAGTTTGGTAATACAGTTTTACATATGGCTGTTATACATAACCAATCGGTAGGTAGATAATTATTCTGTCCCTCGTTTGGCGCAAGATTAACTGGTTTAAGAGTATTTCTATAGTTGTGTATGTGCTTCCATAGATTAGAGACAGCGTGACAGAGACCGTCAGATAGAGAGACAGGGAGAGAGAGAGAGAGAGAGAGAGAGAGTTTGTTATAACTGTATAATTAATCTACTTAAAGACCCAATGTCCATTCAATAAATTCGTTTTTCATTATCTATTTTACAACTATTGTAGCAAGAACTAGTATCTCTTTATCTAAACCTCTTCATTAGTTCAGTCGGAGCAGAACAGTAGGACTTTAATTCCCATTTTATTTCATTTCTTTATCCAAATCTTGCATATTGTATCTTTAATGCGTTTTAATTCGGCAGACCAAAATAGTTCATTACTTGCATGAATGCCCGAAAGCCGCCGTTGCTCGGTGAGTAAGACGTTGACTCGCTACATGGGAGTCCCTTGTTGGTCGAGAAAGTAAATCGGGACTTTCCGGCGTGATTCCTCCTTGTCAGTGGTGCATCACTACGGATAGTAGTTCGAACGGTAAGATTAAAAAGCGTGGTCCGTGTACACATTGATGTACCTGGAAGTTGGAATAAGATATAATATTAGGTCGTAGAGCTAGCGCGCAGTTTCCCTGATAGCACACTGTATGGCGTATGTCCGTCTTCATTAGCCCAGTTGGAGCAGAACAGTAGGACGTTAAACCCCATTTCATTTGTTGCATCACTGTTCACCTAGTAAGTTGAAAGTCTTATGCAGGTGAATCAACTATGTTAATATATACTTACTTAGTTTGTGTTAAGTGGACGGTAAACCTCATTTTCTAGTCTCTTTGTCTATTTGTAGAAAATCTACAGACATGCTGTTAAGCATCCGTTTCAAAAAGCCGTTGAATCTAAAAACAAAGCTGAGTTAACCCCTTTAACACTTGCCAGTAAATTAGGCCGACCTGAAATATTCCAGGAAATGTTGGAGTTAAGTAGTACGGTAAGTAAACGATATATTTATGTATGTTTTACTACCACTTTATAAACTGAGAAACGAGAGACGGAACTGCATCATATTTTAGTACCACTTTAAAAACTTGGAAACGTCCTTAAAAGAGTAGCAGAGGCGAGACAGTGTGGTAGATCTGTGTAGTTGCTGGTTCTAATGATGATGCTGGCGGAGAGAGTAGCTGTTGGATCAAATGATGATGCAGGCGAAGAGAGTAACATAGGCTGGACAGTGTGTTAGATCTGCTCAGATACTGGACCAAACGATGATGCTGGCGGAGAGAGTAGCAGAGGCTGGACAGTTTGTTAGATCTGTTCAGCTGCTGGATCAAATGACGATGCTGGTGGAGAGAGTAGCACTAGCAGAGGTTTAATCTGTGTAGTTGCTGAATCGCACGAAGATGTCAGAGGAGAGAGTAGACACTAATAGATATTTAATGGCTCTTTTAACCCAAAAAGTTTTGACAATAAATAAGGCAGTAGGTTGGTAAATCGTGTTTCGTTTTTCGTTATTGGCGAAAAAAACATTTCCACTTTATATGCCAGAAAACAATAATCCATTTTGCTTTTTCGAGTTTGAATAAGGAATGATTAACATATATTGGTTTATATTTTGACAGCGAAAGTGGAAGTATGGTAACATCTCCTGTTCACAGTATCCATTAGAAGCTCTTGACTCTATTGATTCCGACGGCAAAACTGGTAAGTTTAGCTTTCGATTCTATGGTAAAACGGTTTGAGCAGCTATAGAGTCTAATAATGCAGGGATCGAACACCCGACCTCCAGGATAGCGAGCCAGCGTCTTACCCACTTAGCCACCGTGGCCCCCTCTCTAGAGTATATAAATGAATAATTATGGTAAAGTCAGTAAGGACAGCTCTAGAGTCTATTAATGAATAATTATGGTAAAGTCAGTAAGAACAGCTCTAGAGACTAGTAATGAATAATTATGGTAAAGTCAGTAAGGACAGCTCTAGAGTCTATTAATGAATAATTATGGTAAAGATCTAGAGTCTAGAATAACTCATTTAATTTAATTAGACTCAAATATTTCAACACAGCTCAGTGCCGGACTGGGCCTAGGCTTATTAAAAAAAAGTGGGCCTAAGTCTATAAAGAAATATTAAAATGAAAAAAGAGAAAGAAAAAAGAAAAGAGAAAGAAAGGAGAGGGGAAGGAATGAAAAGAAAGAAGGAAGGAGAGGACAGGACACAGGACAGGAGAAAGAAAAGATAGGAAAAAAATGACTGACAAACAACACAAAAAAAAAAGAAATTTACTACAAGGAAAGAACTTTATGAGTTTGACCTCATTATACCGAGAACCGTGTAATTCATCTTTTAACCTCTACTTAGTTCTTCATAAGTCATTATCGCCGGCACTGACACAGCTGTAGGGAAATTACATTTCTGAAGCTAACCTTTAATTGTAATGTCTGCTCGTGGCGTTTGTCATGTTAAAGATAGGATCCCGTTGTTGATCATGAAATGAAGCACAAGTTTAAATTATACGGTTTCCAGATTGGGAGTCGGCATTGATGACTATATTAGATGGAGAAACAGATGAACACGCCGAGATGTTGGAAGGTCCAGTGATGTCCCAGTTATTGAGAGAGAAATGGAAAACCTATGCCAAGGTATAATATGATATAGTTTATTTCAACTTTCTCATACTTGTTCTATCGGTAATTCTAGAACGTATGTTTGTCCATGTGGGATTAGTCGGTTACTTAGGTATATCCATACTAAACGTAGGCTGTCTGTCTACAGTTAGCTCCGCTTGAGAACAGACACTAAGCCACTTGACCGACATTTTAAGTCATAAGTTGACAATTTTAGTTGAAAACACTGAGTATACTTCGAGAATTTTGAGAAGTATTTATTCTGCTTCTTTGTATGGAATTGAATAGGCTTATTTAGTTTTTGTGTTTATGACAGATATAAAACGGAGTAGAACCGCGTTATTCTCGAGGTATGAAGTATTTGAATCACTGGGTGCAGGATGAGGTGTATCTTGTCGACTCGGTGTTTATTTGAATCTCTGGGTGCAGGATGAGGTGTATCGACTCGGTGTTTATTGTATTCTAGCTGGTGAGAATACGTGTACCTCTAATACGTAGCTTTATTAGATTAGTCTCATGTATAACTTCCTGGGTTTTTTGAAATACGATTGTATCACGTGTTAGTTCCGAAATGACCTATATGGTGGATGTTTAGGTCCATGTCTGTCTGGTTTATATTATAGAAACGGTTTTGGATGAGTATGAGTAAAGCGATGATACATGTGTGTATTATATTGTATAGACTGGGTGAGAATGAGTATAACTGTGATACATGTGTGCATTATATTGTAGAGACTGGGTGAAAATGAGTATAACTATGATACATGTGTGCATTATATTGTAGAGACTGGGTGAGAATGAGTATAACTATGATACATGTGTGCATTATATTGTAGAGACTGGGTGAGAATGAGTATAACTATGATACATGTGTGCATTATATTGTAGAGACTGGGTGAGAATGAGTATAACAGTGATACATATCTTTATTATATTGTAGAAACGGTTTTGGGTGAGAATGAGTATAACTGTGATACATATCTTTATTATATTGTAGAAACGGTTTAGGGTGAGAATGAGTATAGCTGTGATACATCTGATAACAATAACTGGGGCTGTTTATACACGACCTGATCATGATGATCTACTGAATCTCTCAGGATCGACCAATCTGGTAAGATAATAACTCATTTTCTTTTCAAGAAACGCTCCACCTTCTTCTACTTCTTCTTCTTGGGGGTTGGATGGCTGAATGGTTAGCATGTGCGCGCTGTATCATAAAGTCCGTCATTGAGTCGACTGGCGTGGTTTCGAATCCCCGGTTGTACGTGACAAGGAGTAGGGTCGCCTGTCCAACCTCGTGGGTTTTCTCCAGGTCCTCCGGTTTCCCACCACTGCTAAAGACCCCTTATGTGCAAGCGAATTATTGAAATAAAATTAAACCATATGTTAGTCCCGAAATGACCTAGTTTGTGTCGAGTGGACATTAAACCCCATTTCTCTCTCTCTCTCTCTCTCTCTCTCTCTCTCTCTCTCTCTCTCTCTCTCTCTCTCTTCTTCTTCTTCTTCTTCTTCTTCTTCTTCTTCTGTGGGCCACACTCCACAAGTGTAAATAGGAGTGTACTATGGAACAGGAACCGGATATTGCGTCATCGCCGCCATCTTGGAGTTTTGACGTTATATCAAAGTTCTTCAATCGATGCGCAATTATCCAAGAAACAAGCATACCTAGTGTCGTCATGTCGATCATACTGGCATTTGCGGAGCTTTGGATCTTTTTCGAAGAGCGTAACCCCCGAGGTTTTCGGGAGTTAGAAAACAAGAAGAGGAGAGGGGTTCGTAAATATTATTCAGAATATAATATGCTACCTAATACATTATCAGAATATAATATGCTACCTAATACATTATCAGAATATAATATGCTACCTAATACATTATCAGAATTTAAAATACAGATGTGACGCCACCCTTTGATGTTGGTGTACCATTATTTCAAATAATCGTACGGGCAACTTGCCAATAGTACTTTATTCAAACCAGTGAGATATTGGACTAATGTGACGTAAAAGCTCGTGCGGAGTGTCAGTATTTTAAGATGTTTAATGGTCTCGAGCTTACGACATTGCGTAATATATTGTAAAAACATTCGGGCCTACGGCCCTCATGTTGTTACAATATATTACTTAATGTCTCGCTCTCGACCATTAAACAATACATAATATGCTACCTAATACATTATCAGAATATAATATGCTACATAATACATTATCAGAATATAATATGCTACCTAATACATTATTCAGAATATAATATGCTACCTAATACATTATCAGAATATAATATGCTACCTAATACATTATCAGAATATAATATGCTACCTAATACATTATCAGAATATAATATGCTACCTAATACATTATCAGAATATAATATGCTACCTAATACATTATCAGAATATGATATGCTACCTAATACATATTATCAGAATATAATATGCTACCTAATACATTATCAGAATATAATATGCTACATAATACATTATCAGGATTTTTTTTTCTTTTGTTGAAGACTGTCAAAGATTATGCAAATTCTAGATATAAGAGAAGGCCAAAGAGCCCCAGTCAGGACAAAACTTTCCTCATAGCACACCGTATGGCGTATGCCCGTCTTCATGAGCCCAGTCGGAACAGAACAATAGGACGTTAAACCCCATTTCATTTCATTTTTATGCTGTAATGACCGTATATAATATTGTTTCATAAAACAGATTCGTCTTATAGCAGAGTGCATCATGTGTACAATGTGTGTATTTAATCTGGTGATGGAAGTGAAAGTTATAGTGGACTTAGGTTTACGTCCTTATATCAGAAATTGTGTAAGTAATAAGTATAGTTTGCTAAATATACACAACAGGTATTAGTATGCTGTCATACATTATATCGGTGTGGGGTGCGATTAAGACATCACAAGGACTATCTATAGTTATATAGAGGGATAACTCGTGTTTTCCCTTTTCGTTCGTCACTTCCGATTGTTGAAACATTGATTACGCATCTATCGTAGCAATGATCTCTGTGATAAAATAATATTTGGAACATGTTTAGCCAGTTCTATGACATATGTGATAATGCCTGGCACCAATATTGTCCTTTAGATATTCACTAGTATTGCTGGAAGACTAAGGGGAAACTCTTTTACAGTGTCACTGGTGACCATGATTCATATGAAATGTGCTCCGAGATGACTGACAAACTAAACTAAACTCAATCTTAGAATGATTGTTTTGGATTTACCTAATTCCGAATTTTGAGTTTGCATGATTCCTGATTTTGAGTTTGCATGATTTCTAATTTTGAGTTTGCCTGATTTTTAATTTTGAGTTTGCATGATTCCTAATTTAGAGTTTTTATGATTCTTAATGTTAAGTTTACATAATTTTAAATTCAGTTGAGTTTGCACAATACTAATCAAAATCATGTATATGATTAGTAATATGCCCCGGACAATACGGTTTATACCCTGTCCTGTGTTTTATGTATAGAAATATGCTCCAGACAATACAATCTATACCCTGTCTTGTGTTCTGATATTAATTTGTATACCACTGAGATTTACCAGATCAGTAGATGCTGAAGAAAGATTACTCATCATCGCTGTACCAGGGACATTCTGTATTCTTCTCTTCTTTGCTAGGTAACCACTTTTAATTATCATTTTAGTTTCTAAGAATTGTCAGACAGTTCTGATGCTAACCATATCAAAGATCAGTTTGCCGATCAAAGCTGATTGAAGCTGGTCATATCCAATCCAAGCTCCTTTAGCCATTCGAAGCTAGCCATGTGCAAGATCCGTGGTTCATTCGAAGTTAGACATCAAGCCCCATGGGCCGAGCAATTCGAAGCTAGCCATATCCAAACTCCATGGGCCATGCGAAGCTAGCCATATATCCAAGGCCCGTGAGCCATTAGAAGCTAGTCATATCCTCCTTCCTTGAGCCATTGGAAGCTCGCCATATCCAAACTCGGTGAGCCAAATATAACGTCTCTGTTTGATGATGTTAAGAAGTAGTTACGTTTGTTGATTGATTGTTTTCCGTACCCGGGACATAGTCAAAACCCTTTCCCCACCGTGTGGTTGATTTCGTACACTTCCAAGAGAAGCATCAAGTAGTTGTAAACAGAACCATCAGCGTTTCAGGATTTAACCTTCTCTTTAACCAGGAGGAAGTGATGGGGAATTATCTTAATTTGTTTTGGTTTTTTGATCCCGTCTTCATAAGAAAGCTAAAGACGTCAATCGTCACCCCATTCCCTTTGTTGATTAAAAAATGTCGATATTATTTCAGAGGATCGACAATAACTGGACCGTTTGTTGTGATGGTTTATAGGATGTTGACCAGGGATATGGTGCGATTTGGTATCGTTTACATCTTCTTCTGTGTCGGATTTTGTCTAGGTATGATATTTTTATATTCGTTTTTTTTTATTCAAATATACGACACACGAGGTTGGACAGGCGACTCCACTTCTTGTCACGTACAACCAAGGAATCGAAACTACACCACTTGACTCAATGACAAACCTTGTGATACAACGCTCACACACTAACCATTTGGCCATCCTCCGTCATGGTCAGGAAGATGGGTCTCACATGGACAATAATAATAATAATAACTTTATTTAACGAGGTAACTGTTTTAGTTTGCAAAAAAAACTAATCTTTCATAAGCCCCCCCCCCCCCCAAGCTACAAAGACATATATACCTGTAGTATTAGGATGAATTCAAAAAATGAAATGAAATGGAATTTAACGTCGTACTGTTCTGCTCCTATAGTAGGCTAATAAAGACGGGCATAAGCCATACAGTGTGCTATGAGGGAAATTTTGCCCGGGCAGCGGCACTATCGCCTACTCGTATATCGAATTCCAACTGCCAAGGGATCTTTTATGTGCATTCTAATGTATACACGGGATCTTGGTTTTTCGTCTCATCCGAAGGACTAGACAGCTGTCCTTGTCAGGCCCTCCGTTCTGCACCACTGGTAACGGGAAACCACGTCGTCGGAAAATCCAGATGAACTTTCTCGGCCAATGCAGGGAACGAACACCCGACCTCCAGGTTAGCGAGCCAGCGTCTTAACCACCTAGCCACCGTGGCTCCCAGGATACATTCAAAATCATTTGAAATGCAATAGCATTTTAAAGTGAGAAGTTTGGCAAGTCACTGCTAAACTACAAGGGGGGCGGGGTGGTGGATGGCCGATTGGTTAGCACGTGCGTGCTGTATCATTGAGTCAACTGGCGTGGTTTCGAATCCCCGGTTGTACGTGACAAGGAGTAGGGTCGCCTGTCCAACCTCGTGGTTTTTCTCCCGGTCCTCTGGTTTCCTCACACTGCTAAAGACCCCTACGCGCAAGCGAATTATTGAAATAAAAAAATTAAAATATATGTTAGTTCCGAAATGATCTAGTTTGTGTCGAGTGGACGTTAAACCCCATTTCTCTCTCTCTCTCTCTCTCTCTCTCTCTTCCTAAACTACAAAACAAATAGTAGAGCAATAGTCAAATATTGGTAGTATGTAACTATTATAAAACAAAATTCTTGTCTCGTAAATGATATTTTATCTTATTTAGGAGACATACTTTTGATGCAAGTTTTTTTTAGACATATGTGTTATCTGTGCTTCCCAATTAATGTCTTGGTGAATTTGAATTCCAAGTAATTTTGCGGTAGTAACCGTCTCAATTTTCTCACCATGGTATGATAAAGTTAGGTTTTTCTGATTTCTTTTGTGTTTTGATGAAATCTGCATTGATATTGTTTTCGAAGGATTGATTACCATCCCATTGTTTTCACACCATTTAGCAACCAAATAGAGGTCGCTTTGGAGATTATTGGCGATGGATAAAATATCTTTGTGTGAACAATGCAGGTTACTGTCATCAGCAAACAAATTTATCTGACTTGATTCAATATTGAATGGGAGATCATTTATAAAAATAAGGAATGGGAGAGGACCCGGGATCGAGCCTAGTGGAACCCCGCATTTGACTGTAGTAATTGAGAGGATAATTGATCCTAAACAGACTTTTTGCTTCCGTGAGTCAAGATATGATTCAATCAAAATTTGTGAATTGTTATCAAATCGATAAAAGATGTAGTTTTTCGATAATACACTTGTGATCGATAATATGCTTTACTAAAATCAAGATACACTATACCACTCATCGCACCATTATCGATAGCATCAAGCCAATTATCTGTCATTTGGCTCAGTGCAGTAGCACATGAATGATTTGATCTAAATCCAGATTGGTACGCATAAAGAACATTGAATGTTTCCAAATAATATTGAATTTGAGTGCTCAAGTGCCTTTCGAATATACGTTCTGCTGCATTTTCCAACCTAGGCCTACTTTATTTTCGAATTCCAACTGCCAAGGGATCTTTTACGTGCACGCCAATGTACACAGGACCCCGGTTGTTCGTCCCCCATCCGAACGACTAGACAGCTGTCCTTGTCAGGCCCTCCGTCCTGCACCACTGACAAGGGGAAAAGACGTCGGAAAATCGCGATGAATTTTCTCCGCCAATACAGCGATAGAATACGCGACCTCCAGGCTAGCGAGCCAGCGTCTTAGCCATCATTGCTCCCATATATGTTCAAGACCCATGCTACATTTTCTATTTAACAAGACGATCGCCATCTGCATTGCTGTGAATCAAATTGATGGGCCTGTTTTAAATCTTGTTCTGTTTCAGGATTTTCTCTGCTGTATCGTGATATTGAGGACCAGTCAATCAGCCAAATAGACTTCACGGAGGATAAACAGTTCGCTATAGAAAGATTTTCTACGTGGTATGAAACCGTAATGACCTTGTTTCAGATGACGTTTGGGGAATTCCAGGTAGAATATAGAACGTTTATGGGTTAATCGTACCGTTGATTGGTGAATGTGGCGCATTGTGAAATCTAAAGTCCGCATGATAACACCACATACATGGCTATCAGGGGCTCTAGAACCGGATAGACCACCCCAGAAAGGGACACAAAACAAATTCTACCCACAAAACACGCAAATAACCCGTCAAAACTAGCTAGGTAATATTCCGTTTAAGTCTTTAATCGTGTTTCTGGCAGCAAAATACTGTACATTCGAAGCCATCCCTAGTGCAGCTACCAGCATGCCTACTACATGGGAGTGTCATCCACATCTGATGAGACACATGACAGAATAGGAAGCAAGTTGAACGGTGGTAATGCTCTCTGTTTTATGTCCTTCACACAGTTCCGGCGGATTATAATCTTCCAGTGAACGCCACACAATAGCTAAGTGATGACATCTTATTTCGTTCCCTGCTTCTGAATCAGTATGACGTTAACCGAGATTGGGCTTCATTCGAAGAATAAATTGGATACATAGTATCCTGAATGTATTTTTTCAAATGCGGATAAAACCACCATTTTTTGTAGTGTTTAGAAAATGAGCTGTTTATATATATCTCGCATTACTCTCTTTGTTTTTGCAGTACGAAATATTTAATGAAGCTCGAAGCCCAGAAATAACGAAGCTGATATTTACAGCATTTATAATATTAGTGCCTATATTACTGTTAAATATGTTGATTGCTATGATGGGTAATACATATCATAATATCAGAGTTAAGTCAGAGAAAGAATGGAGAAAACAGGTCAGTCTCGTTGAGAGAGAGAGAGAGAGAGAGAGAGAGAGAGAGGGAGAGAGACCCCCTCCACACACACACACACACACAAAGAAAGATAGACAGAGAGCATTCACTCAACATAGAGCAAGTTGTTTCCCGTTATTTTGATGTTTCCAACCTCTTTTTCTCCACTGCTAAAGACCTCTACACGCACGCGAATTATTGAAATAAAACTGAACCAGATGTTAGTCCCGAAATGACCTAGTTTTCGTCGAGCGGTTGTAAAGTTCAAATTGATGACCATCTTTAATTTGTGTTAGTTACACCCACTCGATAAGTCCGAATTTGGAGATCTTTGTTTTTACATGCAGGATACCTTACTGGTTGATAAACAAAAGTTACCTTTAGGGTGCTTTGGGTGCTTTTCTATATTTACCAGCCTGTAGTTCAAGACATAAATGTCAGATCAAAGCAATTAAATTACGTCCGTAGCAGTGGGAGGAAACCGGAGGACCCGGAGATAACCCACGGGATTAGACAGGCGCCCTTACTTCGTGTCAGGTACAAGCTGGGGGGGGGGGGGTAGAAACTATGCCACTTGACTCAATGACAAACCATCTTATCCAACTCAAATGCGTAATATCCAAGGAGTTTAATGGTGAAATGTGGACACACACGTCTGAAAATAATATCGTCTTTTGCCCCGTTGGCCGAGGTTATCTTTTATCCTAAAATACAGGTCCTGTCTGGTGTCATGCACAAGGCAGCGTGGGCTTTCCTTATACTACTTGCACATAGCTAATATATTTAAAATAAATTGGGTCCGCCGCGGACAGGGGCGTGGAGACCCATAAGGAACATCATCCAACCCGGGCCCAAAAAAACAGTATTTATATGTGTGTGCGGGTGTGGCAGCCCCTCCCAGTGCCACCGGGTAATATTGGGCTGTGTGGAACATGGTAGGGTAGATTTGTAGCATGTCTGACCCACGGTTTATGTTTGACACTGGTTAAGCATTATGATCATAATGTTGAAACCGCGTTATTTTTGGCAATTTGTGAGAGGCTACAATAACTCATGGGGCGCAGAAACTCAAAAACATGACACAATGCTCGCCAGTGCGTCCATCCTGCTCTCCTGATCCTGGTGTTGACAGAGACAGTTATTCGGAATTTTCCAGCCTGCTTCCAGCTATTCAATTGTGCAGCTCTGATGACCTGATAAGGGTAAACGTTTCTACTCCTCGCGTTCACAGTTGAAATTCCGCTGAAACTCTTTCTGGGGAAAATTTTCCTCATAGCATACTGCATAACAACTGTACTGCGTCACTATTTTGTTTCAAAACGTTTAAACATTTATTATTATTAATTTTATAATAATGCGACTGTGTAATTTGTTTCAGAGAGCTAAGATTATTATCGTATTAGAACGCAGTTTTTCTGGAGCTCAGTTATTGGCGAATAGAGACGAGTATTCTGATGGGTGTGGTTCATTGGTGGTCATACGATCTGGAAAAGATACCATCGAAAATGAGAGGTGGGACACATGGCTATAGCAAGAAGGTCGACCTCGGTGGGAGGTAGTGGGGGTAATTTATTCGCAAAAGAATGAAGGGTCACTGACAATCGATTTGAATCAGAACAGATTAGAATGAGAGAGAGGGAGGGGGAGGGGGGGTAAGAAGGAGTGTGGGGGTGGGGGTATTGATATTTAGACCCATAAGAATAAAATACAATCAAGTACGAACAATCCAAACCATTAGGCGAAATTCAATTCGAAGTCCTACAAAAACGGTATAGGCAAAATAGTGTAAACATCAAATGGACTATTCACCATGTACAAAAAACACGACAAACAGTGGTAACAGGTGTCCGGAAGAGTAAGCTTGAAGTTCATAGCTTTTCATTTATCATTGGTAATGATGCATTATTTAAGAGCTGAATTATCATTTGTCTATAGCTTTTCATTTATCATTAGTATGACTCTGTTCTGGTCACGAATGATCAAAAACGCTATATGTGCCGCTGTGCTGTGTATGGCTATCGAAAAGCGGCACTGTGGCACTATCATGTCGGCTGTCTCCAGGCACTGCCCAGTGAAACTATCTTTCTTCTCGGTAGAACTTTACGCTGTTATCAATTAAACATGCATTATGCAAGAGCTAAAACTGCCTATCGCGGGTCTTTCTTTAGGACTGAAATGTTATCTAAATTATTAATTAGACATTTATTAACCTATCCAGACCATAATCAACTCTCGATGACATCGCTAGCCTGCGATGTTTATTGGATTAGGTTCCGACTTCCATTCATAATTTAATCATGAAATGGATAATCGAGACTATGTTTTTGTTTTATCATACTGACTTTAGTAATGATGATCGAGGCTAGGCCGAAAATTCAATCGCTAAAATCTCGGTTTAGGGTGGATCAATTTGACTGAAATTTTCAGCAAATTCCCTTTACATTATCTAGTTTGTACATATTATAGTGAGAACTGCCAGCTCTTTATCTAATCTCCTATTATGTATCTTTAACTCAGAAACACTGTGTTTTTATAACTGTGTTTATGTTTTTATAACTGTGTTTATGTTTTTATAACTATTAATGTTTATTTTTTTATAACTATGTTTATATATGAAATACAGGAAACTACAACATCTATGATAGTACATTATGAGTTAAATATAATTAGTTCACTATTCCTTAGCGCGTGTTCTGTGGCGAGAGCCATTCCGGCCTCGGAGCCGAGGCGGCTAGTCGCACGGCTAGGAGCGCCAGATGATGTCTCTCCTGGGAACCCCGAGTGTTGTCTTTACCCTAGCCTCTAAGCCGAGGAGGCTGTTCGTATAAGGTTCCCCTAGGAACTCCGAGTGATGTCTAAAACCCGCACGTTCTTTATAAAGGGGATACGTGCATGAATCATGTACTAACCCCCGGGAAATTGGCCAGGTGCACAGAAGCTATCCTGGATTTGAACACAATGTTCTAATATGGGCACCAAGAAGGAGGAGCGGATGACAGGTGCCCACTTTTCTAAAGCGTGGGATTATATTTGGATACATGTTTCATTAACCCTATGTTTTAAAAAATGGGATTACGATGGCTAAGTGGGTAAGACGCTGGCTCGCTAGCCTGGAGGTCGGGTGTTCGATCCCTGCATTGGCCGAAAAAGTTCACCCAGATTTTCCGGCCAGACAAGGACAGCGTCTAGCCGTTCGGATAGTACGAAAAACCGAGGTCCCGTGTACACATTGGAGTGAACATTGGCAGTTGGAATTCGATATAAGAGTAGGCCGTTGCGCCGCTGACCGGGCAAAATTGCCCCCAAAGCACACTGCATGGGGTATGCCAGGAGGCGTAGCCTTAAAAAATATATTAGGGGGGGGGGGGGGTCCGCAAATGAAATTATATAAAGTGTATACATTGGCGTGCACGTAAAAGATCCCTTGGCAGTTGGAATTCTATATAAGAGTAGACGATAGTGCCGCTGCCCGTGCGAAATGCCCCTCATAGCACACTGTATGGCATATGTCCGCCTTCTTTAGCCAAGTATAGGAGCAGAACAGTAGGACATTAAACCCCATTTCATTTCATTTTACATCCGGCATCTATATTTATTTTTCAGTAAAACCACCACTGACCAAGACATCAACAGATACAGGCAGCACGATTACAGCAAAAACAAGAACAGAAAAACTATCAGGGAGAAACCACTCGTTAACAATTACTGGAACGAAAACACATATGGTATAAATTTCAGTAAAAACTATATGCGATGGTCATTAGTTTAAGAATGAAATGACAATTTTTCTGACAATTGGTGTATAAAATATAGTTACAAACATTTATAAATGGCTGTATTATTGTTGTATTACAAATATTACTAAACAAACCCATAAAGCAAAGCAATAGCATCTGTGACTAATGTACTCAAGTAAATTATCATCTTCCAAAATTTCCACATCGGACTTTCGCCGGGACATTTCCATGACATTGAGTAAGTTTATTGTCACCACGCCTTTCGCAAAAAGCAGGGACTATTAAAATGGGTCTGTCTGTCCGCCTGTCTCTCTGCCGTCACACTTTTTTTTCCTTCTATTTAAAGTAGCTAAGTCTCTAACTCAGTATCATCCAAAATCTTCGACATTGAAAACACCGATTATTTGTCAAATAAAATCAACCTTGATGTTATGATCTTACCGGTAAAATATGAGCTTCTGATATCCAATATGACAAAATAAACATTGTACTATTGGTACACGAGTCGTGCACCATAATACGTTTCAGCGCAATTGTAGCAAGAGACTCGAAGAACGAGGCTAGACGTATTCCACAAGTCATGTCAAACGGTGACGCCATATTTTTATTTGAAGAGCATGCACAATAAATATTATCGGTGTAGACTAGAATAACCAGGCGCTAGAGATTGCCATTCGATTGAGACTTCTGGTGTATTTTACCGAACATAATTGATTAGATACTATATAAAAACAAAAACGACTGAATGTAAATCAGTTTATATACATTCATATTACATTTTGGAGCCACGGTGGCTGGGTGGATAAGACGCTGGCTCGTTAGCCTGGAGGTCGGGTGTTCGATCCCTGCATTGGCCGAGAAAGTTCATCCTGATTTTCCGACGTGGTTTCCTCTTGTCAGTGATGCAAAGGACGGAGGGCCTGACAAGGACAGCTGTCTAGTCCTTCGGATGAGACGAAAAACCGAGGTCCCGTGTATATATTGGAATGGCAGTTGGAATTCGATATAAGAGTAGGGTATAGTGCCGCTGCCCGGGCAAAATTTCCCTCATAGCACACTGTATGGCATATGGCCGTCTTAAAGCCTATTTCATATTACATTTTGATATGCGTTGCTACCCATTTGTGTCAATTTCTAGGTCCCAAATATTAGCGATTTAGGTCCTTTAAGCTAGAATATTCCAATTTTATGTAGGTGTTTATTAGGTGAATGCCTTGCTGGAGTTTTAAGATGATAATTTTCTGCTTTGCGTGAACATAGATAAGCAATTGGATTGGTTGATGCTTCGGGACACGATGATGACCATTTGCTGCTTAGGGTAAGCAGAGCGATAAGCAATTTGGAGTTCGTCAACTTTGATGGTGTTGAAACTTCGTGTATAGTTCCATTACATCAATACCTTGTAGTTTGATCCTGAGCATTTTCTGTTTAGGCCAAGTAGAGACATCAATTGGATTGGTCGAGACTTTGGAACACAATAACTTTGCTTCTAATTGGGGTATATGTGTCTATTAGGTTACTGTGCATTTTCAGCTAAGGCTAACGGTTTGATTGAGAATTTAGAACACGAGAGCAATGACACTCAGATTATAGATTCATTGTATCAATATCTTGGCTAAGTTCGATGATGAGAGTTTTCTGCTTAGGCAAAGTATCATCAAGACTTTGGAACCTAACCCTGCTTTTAATTGAGGTAGAATGTTTAAACTTTATGTTGATGTTATTGGGTGAATGTCTTGACTGGCTTCAATGATTAACATTTCCAGCTAATGCGAAGCAGAGATACGCAGTTTCTTTGTTTTATGCTTTGGGATTTTTAATAGCTACTTTTTTAAGATGCATGAGCTTTCGTTTCACTCGTAATGACTGGCTAGCCGTGAAATTGACATAAAACTATGGAAGACCAAACATTGAATAAAGAATTGTTTGGTCTTCCATATAAACACGATATTTCAAAGATGTTTGCATTAAATTCCAGTGAACACAAATACATTTATGGCAAAGAAAACGTTTAAAAATATAAATTGGGAAAATGCCAAAAAGTGACAGTATAGTCCAGACTCATTGTGATATTTTTTTTTATTTTTTCATAAACAAAATATTTATTCAGATTTGTATCTGAATAGGGATTGGGGAACAGGCATAGCCGCTATTAAACCCCTGTCATTGTGATATTTTTCTGGGGGTAAAAAGTTAGGGTCCTAGTGTAACGATTTGAAGCTACCCCATTAAAAAAAAAAATTAAAACAGTAAAATTAATTTATTCAATAAAATTATTTTTTGCTTTTATTCACTGAATTATAACAGAACAGAATATATAAACGGGAGAAAACAACAATACAATGACAGAACATCATTTTTATGGGAAACATTTACTAGTTTTATTTTACAAACACAACGTTTCTATAAGTATTCTTGTATCAAAATATCCTAAACAACAATACATAATATAATAATTATTAATATCATATTTATATCTCTAGATATGTTTTAACAACAAGTATTTTAAATTACAATCTGATTCAAATACCAGATCTTAAAGATACATTATGGGGAATTCGATAACGAGTTGGCAGTTCTCGCTATAATAGTTAAAAACTAGATAATGTAAAGGCAATTTGCTGAAAATTTCATTCAAATTGATCCACTATGAACCGAAATCTAAGCGATTGGAATTTCCGATTAGCCTCGATCATCATTACTAAAGTCAGTACGATAAACAGCATAGTCTCGATTATCCAATTAATCGTTAAATCGTGAAGGAAAGTTATGCAGTAAATCGGCTCATAATCCACTAAAGATCGCTGGCTAGCGATGACATCGAGAGTTGATTATGTCCTGGATAGGTTAATTAATGTCTAATTAATAATTTAGATAACATTTCAGGCCTAAAGAAAGACCTGCAATAGACAGATTTAGCTCTTGCATAATGTATGTTTAATTTCGTTTCGATTTTATCCTCTTTTTTGGTATTCCGACCGGTTTGCAACTAAGGTCATGTTAGAGGTCACATTGGTGAACTTTGGCCGTGTGACGTAAGCTATTTAAGTGAAACAACGTTTGGTTTGGTCCCCACTCGGCAAACTTCATCAGATTCCAGTACCCTTTATCTAGCTAGATGTAGAATAACGGAATCTGCCGAGGTTTGCCGAGTGGTTTGGTCCCTACAGCTCTGTACACGTCTCCCATAATTCAATGCACATCTCACGTAAAGCTTGACCAAACAATCGATTTCATTGGTTAATCCCCCACTCTTAACAGAACACCAGAGGGATAAAATAAGAGATTATTGTAAAAGTGATTTTGTAAAACAGGTGAGATTAAATGAATAAAAAAAACTAGTTTGAGATTTGGGTTATTTTAAGGTGAACCCTCTTTTTAATCCAGGAGATTCACAACCTTTCATATTTTTTTTTCCTTATTACATGTTGAATAATCAATTTTAGTATTTTTTAGAGCGATTAATCAACGGAAAGTTTAATATTTTTCAATAATGCAAATAAACCATAAAGACTATAAATCAAAATGATTTTCTTACTAAAGTTGAATAAAAAAACATAAAATGTCCTCAAGAGCTACTCCTTGTTTCAGAAAAGTTCCTTAGCCACAGTGTTTATGTGATAGACAAGAGACAAGGGACACCATGTTTACATTGATAAAGGGACACCATGTTTACATTGATAGACAAGAGACAAGGGACACTATGTTTACATTGATTGACAAGAGACAAGGGACACTATGTTTACAAGATAGACAAGAGACACCATGTTTACATTGATAGACAAGAGACACTGTGTTTACATTTATAGACAAGGGACACTGTGTTTACATTGAAAGGCAAGAGACAAGGGACACTGTGTTTACATTGATAGACAAGAGACATGGGACACTGTGTTTACATTGATAGACAAGGGACACCATGTTTACATTGAAAGGCAAGAGACAAGGGACACTGTGTTTACATTGATAGACAAGAGACATGGGACACTGTGTTTACATTGATAGACAAGGGACACCATGTTTACATTGATAGACAAGGGACACCATGTTTACATTGATAGACAAGAGACAAGGGACACCATGTTTACATTGATAGACAAGAGACAAGGGACACTAGCTGTGTTTACATTGATAGACAAGAGACAAGGGACACTGTGTTTACATTGATAGACAAGAGACATGGGACACTGTGTTTACATTGATAGACAAGAGACAAGGGACACTGTGTTTACATTGATAGACAAGAGACACCATGTTTACATTGATAGACAAGAGACACTGTGTTTACATTTATAGACAAGGGACACTGTGTTTACATTGAAAGGCAAGAGACACTGTGTTTAAATTGAAAGACAAGAGACATTTTGTTTACATGAACATATCATCATAATCTGGTGGTCTCATATGATCAGGATCAGGTCTGAAATACAAATATAACATGTGAATAAAACTTGTACATTGCATTATCAAGTTTTAAATAAGGTATTACCAAGTTTTAATTAATAAAAGCATTATCAAGTTTTAATTAATAAAAGCATTATCAAGTTTTAATTAATAAAAGCATTATCAAGTTTTAATTAATAAAAGCATTATCAAGTTTTAATTAATAAAAGCATTATCAAGTTTTAATTAAAGATACATTATGGAAGATTAGATAAAGAGCTGACAGTTCTCGCTATAATAGTTAAAACTAGATAATGTAAAGGTAATTTGTTGAAAATTTCAGTCAAATTGGTCCACTATGAACCGAGATATCAGCTTTGTAAATTTCCGCCTAGCCTCGTTCATCATTACTAAAGTTAGTATGTTAAAAAGCATAGTCTCGATTATCCAATGTTTTGATTTAATTATCAATGAGCGCTTGCAGCATATAGTATTCTAATCCAGTCGATATCGAAGGCTAGCCTTGACATCGAGAGTTGATTGTGGTCTGGATAAGTTAATTAATTTCTAATTAACAATTTAGATAACATTTCAGGCCTAAAGAAAGACCTGCGATAGGCAGATTTAGCTCTTGCATAATGCATGTTTAATAAAGGCATAAAGCTTTAATTAATAAAGGCATTATTAAGTTTTAATTAAAACTAGAATATTAAGATTTGACTTATTGTGTTTAGTTGTTCGGAATGGATGAAAAAACTGAGGCGGGTAACAACTATAGCTACACCACTGTTCAAAACTAGAATATAATATTAAGATTTGACTTATTGTGGGGTATGCTACCTAAAGAAATGGACGGATGGACGGCCTGACAAAGACAGCTGTCTAGTCGTTCGGAATGTACGTAAAACCGAGGTCCCGTGTATCATTGCAATGCATGAAAATGATCCCTTGGATTTTTGAGTAGGCCACAGTGCCGCTGCCTGGGTAAAATTTCCCCCATAGCATCTGTATGGCATATGCCTGTCTTCATTAGCCCAGTCGAAGCAGAACGGTAGGACGTTAAACCCCATCTCATTTTTCTACAGAAAAGCAGACCATAATGTTGACGTATAATGGTAATAACACTTACGATGGCCTCGCACCAGAAGGACCAAATGGATCAAATCGCGCTCCAGGCGGTACAGCTCCTCTAAAAATATTCAAAATATACAAAATAAATAAGCAAGCTAACATTGTTCGGATGGTGGAACCAGACAGAACCCACCGAGCTCCAGGCGGTACAGCTATTCTAGATTCATTCACAATATACGTAATAAATAAAAGCAACCATTGCCGAGGTGGGAAACATTGTTTGGAGGAGACAGGAGTTGATGAACTGACTCAGAAAAATCATCTAGTTGTTCAGATTGGACAAAAAGTCACGTCCATGCGTGTATACGTTCGCATGCATGCAAAAGTCGCGTCCACTCATGTACATGTTCGCATGAATGTAAAAGATCACGTCCACTTGTGTATACGTTCGCATGAACGTAAATGAAACCTTGATACTTGAAAATCGATAAGGGTAGGCCAAACAATCGCTGTCCTTGCAAAATTTTGCTCCTAGCCCAGTGTATGTCAGTCTTCCCTAGCTCAGTCGTCCTGAAAAGTAGAATTTTAAACCACATTTCATTTTACAATTTGTTGATGTACTATGATAAACAACTGAAATAGTTCAAGGGAGACAATCCAACTAAATATGTTCAAAAACAATGCATAAATTTTGGTTAATGGGGAGAGGGAGAGACAGAGAGCGATCCACTGGACATAAACTAGGTCATTTCAGGACTAACACAGTCATGGCTCAATTTCATTTCTATAATTCGCTTGCCCTTAGGGGTTTTTAACAGTGGGAGGAAACCGGAGGGCCCAGAAGAGAACACCTTTGAGGTTGGACAGGCAAAACTACGTCTTGTCACGTAGAAGTGGGAATCGAAACCAAACCACTTGACTCAATGACAGACCTTCTGATATGACGTGCCACCCAATCTTGCATTTTGGTTAAGGAAACCACCATTTCTGGAATTGAACCTTTTGAAGAAATGAAGATGATAACAACCATTTCATAGAATAGCACTGTACAGATAATGACAGAGCCATGAGCAATCACCATTCCTCCGTATTTGATATTCATATCCTGACTGAAGGTTTTGTTAATCGTGAAAATAGTAGAGTTTATTTTCCCAGTAACATCTGACGTCACGAGTCCCACACTTGGACAAATTTCTATCTAAAATGGTGTGCTTGAAATAATTACGCTACGCATTTTCTTTACATATCTAAAGTGAAACGGGTCATGTTATTTTATGTTTACCTTGGTAACCGTGCAGGTAATCCAGTACTTGGATCCATTCCAAATCCTGGTCCCCCAGATCTTCTCGGATCCATCAGCATTCCACCTCCCATTCCACCAAAAGGATCCAAGTCACCTCGTCCGACAGAAAATGGACCGTCTGGGTCTATCCTGCAAATAATTATATAATTTATATTACTGTACAATCCGTGTCTACCCTATAAATAAACATGTAATTTAGGCTACTGGACAATCTGTATCCACTCTGCAAATAACCATATAATTTACATTACTGGACCATCCGGGTCTACCCTGTAAATAATCATATAATTTATGTTACTGGACCATCTGTGTCTACCCAATGAATAAACATATAATTTAGGCTACTGGACCATCTGTGTCTACTCTGCAAATAATCATATAATTTATGTTACTGGATCATCCGTGTCTACTCATTGAATAAATATATAATTTATGTTACAGGACTCTCTGTGTCTACCCAATGAATAAACATGTAATTAAGGCTACTGGACCATCTGTGTCTACTCTTGACTCGAGTCATGGTGGGGGGGGGGGGGCATATAACTCCTAAATGTCTTATTCGCCAGGAAGGAATTGCTGACTCATTTGATGACCTGGCAACTTGAACAAGACTCAGGCTTAGTGAAGTCATGAGATGCGACTCCGTACGAAAGTCAGTGACTTGAAATAAAATTGAACTATATGTTAGTCCCAGTGATCTAGTTCTCTCTCTCTCTCTCTCTCTCTCTCTCTCTCTCATGCTACCAATGGTACACCCATTATTTTGGTTATGTCCAGCGCCATATACTGCTTGACAACCACGGTTCCATATCTTTAACAGTAAGACCAGAAGGACAGCCCCAAACACAAATAATTACTCAAGACAACCTACAGACACCACAAACAACAAACTACAATACATAAGATAAACCTGCCAACAAGACACAATATACAGACACCACAAACAACAAACGCTGCACATATAAGATCGCATAAATAGACATTTTCGGCAAAAATAGTAGTTTTGGAAAAAAAATTTAATGGCTTTTGCCACAACATAAATATCAATCTAATTAAAGTACAGATCTATATTTCGTTTCGTTTTTTATACTTTCGATGGCCTACACTACATGTAGATCTGACAAATTGCCCTTTTTCGTGTCAGGGGTCATATGAGTGGCTTCTGACCCTATGACGTCAGACATTGATTAATTAGTCAGCATTGACGTTTCTAGTGGTTTACCCAAAATTCGGTGCAGAACACGCCAAGAACTCACTGTAACAGATCGTTTCATTGGCTAATCCCTCATGCCCTCCAGAATGCAGGTAATATAACAACTCTTACAGATCCTAGTGTAGTGAAGACAAGTAAAACGAAATGAAATAGGATCTTTGATTTAATCTGATTGTATAAAGATCTGTATACACTGAGGTCATCCTACCATTCATGCTGTTGACCAGATCTACGATGTGAAGGACCACCCTGTGTAAATCTATCATCTTCTAATAACGACGACGATTTCTCACATTTCCTACTTTCACTTTTCTTCTCAACAGAACTTTTAAATTCATCAAATATTTCTTTTTTAACCCTTTTCTTGAAGTCTTCGAGATTTTTGAAGGCACTAGAAATAAAAAAATGACATCAAAACGGGCAATGGAAGTAAAATAAGCTTCAAACGTTAGCTTATCTGTATAAATTGATGGGGGGGGGGGGGGATAGCTGAATAGTTAGCGCGTGCACATTGTATCACAAGGTCTGTCATTGAGTCAACTGGCGTGGTTTTGATTCCCCGGTTGTACGTGTCAAGCAGTAGGGTCACCTGTCCAACCCTGTGGGTTTTTTCCGGGTCCTCCGCTTTCCTCCCACTGCTAAAGAACCCTATACGCAAGCGAATTATTCAAATAAAATGGAACCATATTTTAGTCCTGAATTGACCTACTTTGTGGCGAGTGGATGTTAAACCTCTTTTTTCTCTCTCTCTCTGTATAAATTGAAAAGATGTTAAACTGTAACATCATACTTGTGGCAAAAACCAGGCTAATGACAATGGGCATACATCTTGTAGTCTGCTATGAGAGTAATTTTGCCAGGAGAGTGCCATTTCAGCCTACATGTAAGCTTCTACATAAATAAATACCGACAAGGTTTCTTTGACATTACAACACCAACATTACACAGATCACAGGACCTCGTAACAAGGACAGCTATCTTGTCGTTCGGTTGGTACGATAAACCGAGGTCTGGTGTATACATTGGCATGCACGTAAAACATCCCTTGACATGCACGTAAAATGTCCCTTGGCAGTTGGAATTCGATATAAGAGTAGGCCATAGTGCCGGAACAGAACAGTAGGAAGATAAACCTCATTTCATTTCATTTTCACTAGATACTGTTCCTGGCCAGTCCCTCCGTTCTGCACAACTGTCATGGGGAAACACCATGCTGAAAAATCCTGATAAGCTTACCTGTGATAATCGTCTAAAACACCTGTACAGTGGTCGGACGATCGGATATTCATACTAGCAACTTTCTCATCCTCTTCTCTCTAAAAATATACCAACAAAAACATTCAATATAAAGATTAGTCTTGCCCCACGCCCACTCGACAAAAACTAGGTTATTTTGAGACTAACATATGGTTCAATTTCAACACAAGGTACAATTTTATGGATACACAATTACTGAGTTTAATACTAAGCAACGTTTCAATGTTAATACTCTCATCTTTATCAAGCAAATGATACAGGTATGTGAATTGTGGGCAAATATATACAGAATATATACAGAATATATACAGAATATATAAAGAATATGCAACAAAGATAATAATCAAATGCAATTAAAGCTTAACACCTTTGATTAGGGGGCCATTAGGAACTAAACATACACAAGGGAAATCTCTTACAGGGATTAAAAGGAGGTGAATGCTATATTTATAAAGATCAGTGTATTAACACTGTTAATGGAAAACCAATTAACCTGAGCTATAGATAAACAATAATATAAAGAGGAGTGTGTAGGTATAAGTGAACAAGAGTGATCGCTGATGCAGGTGTAAAGAAAAATAATAATAAATTTAAAAAAATTGAAAATTAAAAATAAAATTATAAAAATATAAATGATATTTATTCAATGAACAGAAAATCATGGAAGATATATAAAGCTTGTTATTAGACTGTAAAAAATGGACGGGGGAAGTCGTAATTATATTGATTCAATATCATTTGCTTGATAAAGACGAGTGTATACTCGTCGAAACGTCGCTTAGTATCAAACTCAGTAATTGTGTATCCATAAAATTGTACCTTGTGTTAATATGTTCAATTTCTAAATGCCAATCAAAGAAGATATGGTTCAATTTTATTTCAATAATTTGCTTGTGTGTATGGGTCTTTAGTAATGGGAGGAAACCACATCACATGACTCAATGATAGATCTTCTGATCCAACATGCACCATGATAATCATTTGTCTACCAAAAACCCCATCCAATTTGAGTAAAATAATTAATTGTACCATACCATGAAATTGACCATCAGAGAATCGTCTATTTTAATAATCTTTAAAATAAATATTTTATTGTTTGATGTTTGATTGTAACGCAGTACGTAAACATTCTCATCAGAGTTCCAGTCCTTTGGTAGCATCTCTGACTTCTTATCACAGCTTTTACCCTAGAATAAAAATATAAAATATGATTATATAGGCCTATATCATGTTATGTTATGTAAGAGCTACATCTGCCTATACCAGGGGGGTCACGATGACTAGGTTGGTAAGACGCTGGCTCGCTAGCCTGGAGGTCGGGTGTTCGATCTTTGCATTGGCTGAGAAAGTTTATCCAGATTTTCCGGCATGGTTCCCCCTTGTCAGTGATGCAGGACGGAGGGCCTCACACGGACAGCTGTCTTGTCATTCGGATCAGACGAAAAACTGAGGTCCCATGTACACATTGGCATGCACGTAAAAGATCCATTGACAGTTGGAATTCGATATAAGAGTAGGCTGTGAAGCCGCAGTCCGGGCAAAATTTCCCTTATAGAACACTGTATAGTGTATGGCATATGCCCGTCTTCATTAGCCCAGTTCGGACTAAAATTTTCAAATTTTTGAGCTATTATATAGCAGGAATGACCAGTTCTTTAATCTAATTCCTACAAGATCACTGTTGTTATATAAGATTGTTCACCAATTTGAAATAAAGATATTAACATTTCATTAACGAAAGTTACATTTGATTAAAAAAAAAAGAATTACTGGGGTAATTCCCGAATTCCGTATTTTCCCAATATACCTTTTCACCTTTACCGATGCATTTAAAACCATTTGATATTATTTTCCAGTGAATTACCGACACTAGGACATCGTCAGCATTCTTATAAACACTGGATAAACTCTGGTAAAGTAATTCTAACCCCGGCAGTGGCATTTTAGATTTTAAATTTACTCAAAATAATAAATCTGCAACTTTCACTTTGTTGTTGACGGACTGCCTCCAAATTTTAATCGTAAAATTTTGCGGAACGAAATAACGTTAGAAGTGACTTTATTTTAGACAAACGAATGTGAAAATTTCAATGCATCAGGTTCAGTTTCTTCTTCATTCATGGTGTATTGGTTTTCCAAGTTTATTTATTTTTTCCAGATCTCAGAAATCTTTATTAACCAGAACTTTAATTATTTATTTAGACAACTTGTTAATCGCGACTAGAATACGTGCGTGAATCCCCGCGATATTTGGAAACGTGATCACAATTCTTTGAGCGTTTACACAGTCACACACGTGCATTGAACTCTCTCTAATCAGAGCTGGGGTGATTGTCACATAGCAGTCAAAATGGTAAAACTTTTATTGTAATTCATTGTTAAATAATTTCTGAGAAGAGGTTATTATAAGCCGATTCTCATTCTCAGATCTGACTATGTATGTTATCACAGGGACCTCGGAGTCGGACAATCCATATTCACATTGTTATTATGGGGACCCGACCCGATCATAAATTTTCCCATACCATACTATCTCAACAACATCAGTTTTAATGAGGATTGATATATTATTAACTTGATGTCAAGACTCCCTATATTTAGGACTGAAAGTGAAATATTAATAACTGATATCATCCATGAAAAATTTGCCCTATAATATACTATCACTATTATTAGTATTATTAAAAGTTGAGTTTACTTCAGCGAATGTCCACAAGTTTATTTTAAAGTCATTAAATTAAGGACCATAACTAGCGGTCGGGGGGCAAGGGGGGCGGCTGCCTCAACTGAGCGCCAAATCACGCCCTTTCCATTGGACTCAATACGAAGCGAACGATGGGAGCCCCATAAAGCCGAGTGACATTGGTTGGGCCAGCTAACTACGGGTCTGTTGTTCGCGGTCATCTGCATTAACCTATAGTCTATAGGTAGTCTACGTAATGGCGGCAATTAATGGATTAGAAAATACAGTAAAACAGAAACGATTGAATGTAAATCAGTTTATATTATTATACATGTATGTGTTGCGACCCATTTGTGTTCATTTCTAGATTCCTACACACATCTTCGAAACACACATCTTATTAGGCAATGTTAACTTGTTATTTTTATTATCAGGCTATGGCTGCAGAAGTACCACAAGCTATTTGTCGTTATTATTCTACGACTGGAGGATGTCGTTTTGGTGATCGATGTTGGTTCCGACATGAGGAAGGAGAAAATGTAGGCCTACCTACAAATCCAGGCTCAACCAGAATGTGTCGTTTTTTCATGTAAGAGTTTTAATTCATATTTTAGAACTAGCCCCCAGTGAAAACACAGTTATCATACATCAGAGAAGTAAAAATAACAACTTTGAATGCATTTTATATTTCCAAGATGGCATGCTCACCACCTATTCGTGAATATCGACATGAAACTTGGCATGTTTTTCCTTGGACAATTGCTTGTTCCTTGAACAATTGCTTGTTCCTTGGACAGTTGCTTGTTTCTTGGACCGCTGCTTGTTTCTTGGACTGTTGCTTGTTTCTTGGACTGTTGCTTGTTCCTTGGACTGTTGCTTGTTCCTTGGACCGTTGCTTGTTCCTTGGACAAATGGGCATCGACTGACAAACTTGGATTGATGATACAGTATCACGTCACAATTCCAAGATAGCTATGTTAAATCTTAGAAAGGTCAACAACTTATGCTACTCAGAGAGCTCATCCACTATCCATTTACAGCTGGGTAGACTTGAACATAAATTTACCTAATGTTGTAATTTTCAGGTCACCTAAAGGATGTCGTTTTGGTGATTCATGTCATTTTCGTCATATTACTCCAGAAACAGACGGCCATGACATGCAGGTGAGCATACTCCTTGCAGCGTATCCTTTGATTAGACCTTATCCCACTTAACACTGCTGTAGTGTAATGGAAGCAAATTTCTGTTCCAAATTATGACTGGTCAATAGTCTGATTAAGAACCAATAGCTAACTGCGTACTGGTGGCTTTAAACAGAGCTCCAAATATGTTTACATAACCTTATTTCATGATTCCCGAAATTTAACCAGTGCATAGCAGAATATTGCAAAAAAATCTAATTGCGTGACAAACGAGGCTATCAAACGGCTATTATGTAAAAGTACTGTTTGGAGACGAACAATACATTCACTGTTTTTAATACCTTAAATCACTGTCCAAAGTTTTAGGGAAGATCCCAGATTAAACGAAGGGCTGTCGTGTTGCTGTACTTGGCGTATATCAGAGGTTAATCCAGCAGTGGCTAGAGAGGGATTTCTCAGGCCATTGCTTCAGTAATATGGCAGGTGAGGTGAAGATGAATAGACAGAAGCGTTGGAGTATATAGCAGTGTGTTGTTCACTGTATATTTTTTAGAGATTATGTAGCTTTAGTGGTGTGATGTTGATTGACTATTTTTTCAGAGGCTATCTGAGCTATTTAGTGGTGTGATGTTGATAGAGCATGCTGTTACTGATATTAATAATAACGATGATGATGAAAAAACAGATGGAGAAGATGAAGACAAGATAGAGGTTGAGGAGGAGGAGGAAGAGGGAGAGATGGAAGAAAAAGGAGAAATAAAAACAGTTGTTTGTGGTAGGGGTTTATAATGATATTTAAAGGGGAAGACCAACGATTTTCAATAAGGTTTCCATAAATAATAAATATATATTTAGAAATAATGCCTCCTATAACGTATGCAAAAAATAATTTGCAAGCGGGAAATTAATTTTTATTAATACTGGAAGTGACGTAGTTGGTTCGACACGCTCACTGGTCACTATAGTAAACATACAAATTTGGAGCAAGTTTAGCGCTGTATTTTGTGATCGTTTCGCCGTTTGGCAGAAAATCTGATGAAAGGTAATCTTTATTAGGATATTAAGAACAAGAACTTACGGTGTTTTGAAGGTATAATACACAACGCGTTTGTGTAAATTAAGTTTCTAAACTGGACACTGTGACACAATTTAAGCCACATGGCTAATTGTTTACATCACGTGATAGCTGGCACGTGACAGATATTAACCGAACACAAATTGGCGACCTATTCGGCTAGCGACCTATTCGACCGATCCAGCTGGCAACCTGTTCGTTGGCAACCTATTCAGAATGAGAGCGCACCCCTTTAATATGATTGTGCCAACTTTTACTAATAATATTTCGAAAGCTTATTTAATCTCGGAATATATTTAGTTGGATGTCCAGAATTTTGTAAGATAATGCGAAATTACATCTCTATTCTAAGCTAAAGGAATGGATAAATGATAATATATTCTACTTTCATTTGATAGACGTTACGTTGGATTTTATTGGTTGATAAAAATAGATGAGTTTGGGCGACTGTTGAATTTATTCTGAATAGGTTGCCAACGAACAGGTTGCCAGCTGGATCGGTCGAATAGGTCGCTAGCCGAATAGGTCGCCAATGTGGCTTAAATTGTGTCACAGTGTCCAGTTTAGAAACTTAATTTACACAAACGCGTTGTATATTATACCTTCAAAATACCGTAAGTTCTTGATCTTAATATCCTAATAAAGATTACCTTTCATCAGATTTTCTGCCAAACGGCGAAACGATCACAAAATACAGCGCAAAACTTACTCCAAATTTGTATGTTTACTATAGTGACCAGTGAGCGTGTCGAACCAACTACGTCACTTCCGGTATTAATAAAAATTAATTTCTCGCTTACAAATTATTTTTTGCATATGTTATAGGAGGGGTTATTTCTAAATATATATTTATTATTTATGGAAACCTTATTGAAAATCGTTGGTCTTCCCCTTTAAGGCGGTTATAGTTATAAAGGGTGTAGCCACCAGGTGCCATGTGTGCTGTCAGGAAGGAAAACGGACTACGCCGCTGTACGAAAACAGAGGTGCCCTATGTTGAGGCTCAAACTCACAACCTTCGCATTCCTCAAACCTGTGTATAACACAGGGAAGGTACTGCCTATAAGTACGGAGCGCTAACCGATTGTGCCACTAAGATTGTCTTTATCAAGTAATATTTATGACAAGTTTCTGTCAGACGAGATGAAAGGCAACAGAGGAATTGTGCCGTACAAAGTCTATAAACATGTGCCTTCTTTCTAGGATTGCCTCATATAGTTTTCTTGTCTCCTTCAAGTCATTGTCACCCTTAATTGTCCACGTCACACATTATCCATAGGTACACAAACACTCTTAAATTATTTTTATCCAAAACAATATCATGATATAAAACAGTTCTATTTCTTCGACATCGGCAGGATTAAAAATATCAATTATTCATTTATTCTATTGTTTTCTTGGTAAATATTGACCTAGATATGAATCGTATGGTAGCACCAGAATCGCAATATGTATCGGATCGTATTGTGACTGCAGTGGCAATACCTAGTGCTACAACATGTTTGGCATGTGCCCGTCTTCATCAGCTACCCTGTTATATTTTACTTCTTTAATATTATTTTCTAGTTTTCCTATGTGTATATTTATTTTTATTGCATATTTTATTGAATTGTATTATACACGTTTCTTGGAAGATAGACCTCTATAAATGTTGATAATAATAATAATAATTAGCCAAGTTGGACCAAAACAGTAGGACGTTAAAAACCATTTGACAACTAAATGATTTAAAGTAGTTAAGTCTCTAACTCAATATCATCCAAAATCTCCGACATTGAAAACACAAATTATTTGTCAATTTAAATTAACATTAATGCCATGATCTTACCGGGCAAAGATGGATTTCTGATATTTAAGACAAAATATACATTTTACGATTGGTACGCGAATCATGTACCATAATGCGTTTCAGCGCTATTTGTCATCAGGGAATCGAAAAACGAAGCTAGGCATATTGCACAAGCCGTGTCAAACGGTGACGCCTTATTCTTACCAGACGCTAGAAATTGCCATTCGATTGAGACTTCTGGCATATTTTACTGAACATAACTGATTAGAAATTACAGTAAAAACAGAAACAGTTAATGTAAATCAGTTTAAATACATTCATATTACATTATTAAATGCGTTGCGACCAGTTTGTGTCAATTTCTAGTTCCCAAATATTAGCGATTTAGCTCCTTTAAATAGATATCATGAATTGAAAATGTCAAAACATTCTGCATCTACTGCAGACAATATTTAAACAACCAGGGCCACCTAATAATAATACTTAACCAAGATGAACCACAAAAATAGAATGTTAAACTGTATTTTTTTTGACAAAATGATTATATCCAGGTGTGATTATATATTACAGGTGTGATTATATATTACAGGTGTAATTATATATTACAGGTGAGTGTAACGAAGTAATCAAGAGTTGTAATGTAGAGAAAGCTTTAACTAAACATTACATGACTATGTTTCAACAATTTGATAAACCACACACCCAGTTCATCAGTCTAGATTGGAGATTTTATCGAGAGGTCATGTGTGATACTTGCTTTATTTTCTTCGATAATTCCCTGTCCATGTTTCGACACATCGCAGATAAATCTAAACTTAAGAAACGAGATGGTCCTGAACACCGAGAAGATCTTCGTGGTATTGTTGATACATTTGTTAGTAAGTATGATTTTAATAGCCCGATTCCCCGTTTGTACGTGACAAGGAGTAGGGTTGCCTGTCCGAACCTCGTGGGTTTTCTCCTGATTCTCTGGTTTCATCCCACTGCTAAAGACCCCTAGGCACAATCGAATTATAGAAATAGTCAGTATGTTTTGTTATTTTTGGCACCGGCATAAAAGGTTGCTACTGGGAACCTCTTTGGCTCAGCGAGTATGGCGCTGGCTTGCTACCCGGGAGGTCCTGTGGCCAAGCAAGTTCATCAGGATTTTCCGACGTAGTTAGGGGTTCCCCTTGTCACTGGTGTCGAACAGAGGGCATGGCAATGGACAGCATCTAGTCATTCTGATATGATGAAAAACTGGGTCCTATGCACGTTAAAGAACCCTTGACTCTGTGAAGAATACTCAGTAGCACCACTGTCCCATCATAAATCACAACATAGGGTACGCTCGCCTTCTTTAGCCAGGGTTGTACAGAATAATTGAATGTTAAGTCCCATTTTATTTCATGTGTCGAAGCCCAATTCAGATATAAAAAATTTGACCATGAACCTATGCATGTTTTTATTTCTAAATATTAATTTTGTTTAATTTAGGGCGAGATATGGGTGTAGAAACTGAAGTTCCTTTTCAAGAAATATTGATGACACTTTTAACAGAAGATAATATAGAGGAAGAGGAAGGAGACTTTAATCCTGAGGACCATGAATATTTTGGGTAAACTTCAATCTGATTAAAATACGAATCCTATTTCGTTTCGATTTTTATACAGTAGAATCTGCATTAAGCAGCCACCCAAGGGAATTTTCACAACTGACCGCTTAACGGGAGTGGCCTCTTAATAAAATCTCGTTGCTTTTTGTGCCAACATAAATTAAATATTACGCTTGGGTGCATTGGAAGCGGTAAATTTGGCCGTCGCTGAATCTTGCACCGAACAGAAATTCTTTACTCAAATCTCGGACATAACTTAACGGGAGTGACCTCTTAATAAAATCTCGTTGCTTTTTGTGCCGACATAAATTAAATATTACGCTTGGATGCATTGGAAGCGGTAAATTTGGCCGTCGCTGAATCTTGCGCCGGACGAAAATTCTTTACTCAAATCTCGGACATAACTTCTGTAAACTTGTCATTTTGTACCAACCTTCGATACTACTGTCTACCATTGTGATGCATTCGATAATATTTATCCATTTTTGTGAAGAAAATCGATGAATTCATTTTATTTTATCAAAAAAGCACATGAACAAAAAACATCGCTAATTTTATCACCTATTTACAGGGGGTGTAACTCTGTATGTAATATTATAGGAGGCGCTAAGAGAGATACTAGATGATCGTGACAAAACTCGGTACTTTTATTTTATTCAATTAGTATCAAATAATGTGTCGTTACGCGTGAAAACAATGATCAGGTTAGTCGTTTAATAAAACAAAAGATTAATTAACAGATAATACCGGGTTGATTGTTATGTTTACATTTCTTTTTACCTGATCAGTGGGGGTCCAGTTAATTAACTACTACTCACGGGATTAGCGGGGGTGTTACAAAGAACGACAAGATGGTATCATTCAACAATGGCCGTTGAATGGGCGATGTTTTGTTGAATTTATTAGTAAAATAGTGACCGCTGGCCACGTTAGAGGAGTGACCGTTGAATAAAGAGATGAAACAACAGAATTTCTACGGGGGGAATTTATCGTGACTGCTTACAAGGAGATGTCGCTGAATAGGAGTGGCTGCTCATACAGATTCTACTGTAGTTCAAAATTTCGTTTTGTCTTTACTACACTACGATCTGGAAAAGTTGTTACATAATGTGAGGAATAAATCAATGAAATGGTCTGTTATGGTGAGCCTGTTCAACCTCGTGGGTTTTCTCCGGGTCCTCCGGTTTCCTCCCACTGCTAAAGACCCCTACGCGCAAGCGAATTATTGAAATAAAATTAAACCATATGTTAGTCCCGAAATGACCTAGTTTGTGTCGAGTGGACGTTAAACCCTATTTCTCTCTCTCTCTCTCTCTGTTATGGCGAGTTCTTGGCGTCCTCTGCACTAAACTGTGAGTTAACTCCAAGAAACGTCCAATCTGATTGATTAATCAATGTCTGACGTCATAGGGTCAAAAGCAGCTCGTATATGACTCCTGACGTGACCTCCCAGTACAAATGGTCAGATCTTCATGTAGTGTAGGCCATAGAAAGTATAAAAAATGAAATGAAATATAGATCTGTAATTTAATCAGATTCGGTAATCTTTTGATTTATTTTATTTCATGGAAAGCTATAAAGGCCTATTTTTTTTAAGTCAGTTACTCCCCCTTAGCCGAATACATTGTGAATCCAATCCATTTCTTTTTCAAATTAGGTGTTAAGTATTGTGATCATATTCAGCATTCGTGACCTTCCGTTGCCCCCCAAACCGATTGCCGAAAACCTTCTGAGCACGATAGTTTTTAAGAGAGGATGAGTTCTATTAATGTGGGTGTATCATCCATGGCAACAGTTTGTATTTCATGCAGTTAGAACACTAGAATTACAATTATGATAACCAGTATTCAATTCAAAATAGGAAGGTTGAATGACCGAATGGTTAGCATGTTCGCGCTGTATCATAAGGTCTGCCATTGAGTCAACTGGTGTGGTTTCGATTCTCTGGTTGTACGTGGCAAGGATGACGTAGCTCCTTGTTGATAGTTAGATGATTATGGTGCTGGTCATGGGATCAATCCCCGTTTTGACAGAGTGTTTCATTTGATTAGACCTAATCCCGCTCAACACTGCGGTAATGAAAGCAAATTTCTGTTCCAAATTATAACTGGTCAATAGTCCGGTTAACAATAAATACCTAACCGTGTAACAATATCATTCGGGTTTAAATAGAGCCCCAGATATTATTAACATAACGTTACGTCATGACACAAAAAATTTATTATGCCCAATTAACTAGTGCATAGTAGAATATTGCAGAAAAACTAATTTGTGACAAACGAATACAATTTCAACAATGCTGTTTGGAGACGAACAATGCTCTGGTCATTTTTAATACCTTAAATCACTGTCCAAAGTTTAAGGAAAGACCTCAGATTAAACGAAAGTCTGTCATGTTGCTGTACTTGGGATAGATTTAATTGAACAGGAAGAATAGACACACTCCCTCAAAAGCTCAAGTATCAGAAGTTCAATGCAGCAATGGCCAGAGAGGGATTTCCCAGGTCATTGCTTCAGGAATGGGTTTTTTTTTATGATTTTCATTCAAATAAGTATCAGCTCAAGATAAATCTAATTCCGTTCAATATTTAAAAAGATATCATGAATTGAAAATTTCAAAATTATTTGGCATCCTCTGCAGACAATATTTAAACAAGCCAGTGTCACTAATAAGTGTTGGTTTTACCCTTGTCAGTGGTACAGAAAAAAGTGCCTGATAGGACAGCTGTTTAGTCATTCAGCTGGGACATAAAAACCTAGGCCTCGTGTACACATTGGCGTGCACATAAAAGATCCCTTGGCGTAGTATCCCCTTAGTGATGCAGGACAGAAGGCCTCTTAAGGACAGCTGCCTAGTCGATCAGATGGGTCGCAAAACTGAGACCCTGTGTAGACATTAGAGTGCACACAAAAGATCCCTTGGCAGTTGAAATTCGATATAAGAGTAGGCCGTATTTTTATTTTTTCAGTGTACCTTTAAGACAGACGAGCACATTAGAGAAAGCGAGAGAATTGACGAAACAGAACTCACTGGACGAGGAGCGGATGGAGAATTTTGGTTTTACAAATGAAGAAGTGATGGAGCTACTGTGTCAGGGAATTAAGCCGTGGGATGATGAGGCCTACGATGCTCTTGAAGTTTTATATAGTTAGTTTATTATCGCAGGATACCCCGCTTGTACATGACAAGCGGTGAAATGAGGATTTCGTATAATTTAACCTTCAAGCACAATAGATTTATAGCTTTCATAAGTTTTATGTAGTTAGTTTACTATCACTGTATTCCCCGCTTGTACGTGAAAAGCCGTGAAATGAGGATTTCATATAATTTAACCTTCAAGCACAATAGATTTCATAAGTTTTATATGAATAGTTTATTATCGCTGGATACCCCGCTTGTACGTGACAAGTGGTGAAATGAGGATTTCGTATAATTTAACCTTCAAGCACAATAGCTTTCATAAGTTTTATACAAATAGTTTATTATCAGTTGGATGGCTTAGTGGTTAGCACGTGCGCGCTGTATCATTAAGTCTGTCATTGAGTCAACTGGCGTGGTTTTGAATCCCCGGTTGTACGTGACAAGGAGTAGGGTCGCCTGTCCAACCTCGTGGGTATTCTCCGGGTCCTCCGGTTTCCTCCCACTGCTAAAGAACCCAACGCACAAGTGAATCATTTAGATAAAACAGAACCGTATGTTAGTCCTGAAATGACCTAGTTTGTGTCGAATGGACTTTACACTCCATTTCTGTCTCCCTCTTAAATATTATTGCATGCCATGAAATTAGGATCTGATATCATTTGACCTTCAAACAAAATAAATTTATAATAAACTATAACAAATACTTATGGAAAAACAGCTAGGCCTGCTAATTTAAAGAAAGAAAGATATCTTGCTTAGAGAAAGTAAACAAAATGGGGACTGGCTGGGAATATTGTGAAGTGAATGCCCTGGGTTAATGTAGTATTGTTATTGATTCTCCTTACTTAGTCATGTATATTCGTCCAATCAGAATGGAGCTTATTTAGTGCAGTATATTTGACCAATCAATATGGAGATTTGTTATTTTGTGAAGTATATCCGTCCAATCAGAATGAAGATTATATAGTGAAGTATATCCGTCCTTTCAGAATAAAGATTTGTTATTCAGAATGTATAGAATGTTAATAAGTTAAACTTTTCATTAGTGTTCATTTATTGGCCAAAGTTTTGAATAATTTTGTTTAAAAACAACTTTGGCAAGAATTCTGTGCAATACTCAAGTCTTGTCTTCTTGCGTGATTAAGGCAGTTTACAGTTGTTAGAAATTAATGAATTTTCTGGACATGAATATCAACAAGAATTAAAAGTTATAAAAACGCAAACTGATCGTTCCATATTTAAAAAAATAGAAAGTAGTTAATTCTGTAACTAAGAGAATTTTGTAATTAAGAGTTATTGCCCTTAGTAAAGTTATTTAGAGTTATCTTCCTTTTGTAAGTGCTGTTTACTTAGTAATGCGGGGAATGATTCTGTGATGTTCCAGTTGGTATTTGATATTGCCCAGTTGGTGATAGGGATGCGAATTAACTACTGATCTTTCAGTCTTTCTGGTTATCAAATTGGTGCTATTGTATTATTTGTGGTATTATCTATTGGTATTTCAGTGTTTCGTAGAATTAATGTAAAACCTACTCATAAAAGTTTTATGCTTAACATAATTCTTAATTTGATGGCTTCCTCTCGAGGGGGGTGGTTGGCCTTGAGAGGAATAAAGTGCTGGGGTGAGACCTTTTTTGCCCCCCAAAGTTTCCAACACTAGTCACATCTAGATGATTAACTAGCAGATGGCGCTAAAGCAAAAAATTCTGTACATATTTATATAAGCTTTACAGGAACAATAACAAAAATAAGTAAGCATAGTTGTCCAAATCAATTTTAAACTTTGATATTCGTGGCCCCTGGGGGCGGAGCACTGGCTGCACTCTCCTCTCTAAACAAAAACTCACCCATTCAGTTTCATGCACTCAAAAACTGTTTGAGGTACATGTACCATGATTATTCTGTTTTGTATTTATACCATTCGTAATAATTATGGTATTACATGTACACAGCCACCATTTGTAATAACAAGCTTATTGAATTGTTTACGGTACTATGGTTGTTTTTTTCTTTATTTTTGTAATAATTATGGTGTTACATGTACAGAATAAGTCAGATACAAATGATTTTTGTGTAAAATGTTTGTCTTATATTTGTTCTATTATTATTGTTTTTTGGCTATGACCTTGTTTAATTGTTAGAATAGGAAGAGTTAAAATGTTATTTATGTTAGATATATTCGCTATGTGCTTAAAAATAATATATATGTTAATAGAAATTAATATGTACTGTTAAAAAATATTCCATGTCAAGCGGTTCAATTTTGTAGTACTATAGGACTTCTTCTTCTTGTGTTTATTTTCTGGTGATCTTTAACAAGACTACAGCATAAAATAGTTTTATAACTTTATTGCTAAGCTGTAATGGATTTGCAGGTTCCTCGTTCTCAATAATAATGGCTGCTAGGAATTTCTGGGTGAGCTCTAATCCAGTTCGCCTCTACACCCTAATTTATACCCCCTAATTTCTGCAGGTCTTCGATAACCTTGACGTTTATTTCCATCCCATATATGGAATAAACTTCTTTATTTCCCACAACTAAAGGAGGAGACATTACCTTATTTGGTCTACCAACCATAGGTCAATTAACAGCCAGAATTTGATGGATATTTTGACAATGATTTTGATTTAACCAAAATATCACTGTTTTTTTTATGTATAACTATATAATCTTGTTCATTAAGTACGTGAGACTTGACTCTATAGACAGAGTGAAGAAACAATTTTACAAAGAACTAAAATTGTCTCAAGGACCAAAGTGTTACATTTTTCAGAAATATGGGAAATTGACCCCCTCAAGAAAATCTGGTAAAAATATACGTTGTTGAACATGCCATAACTAGATTTTTTCATGGGGTCGATTTCCCACCCCTGGCCCATTTGACATGGAATGACCCCGCCGTTACCCTGTCTGTCCATCCGTGGTCCACAATTGCTTGTGAAGACTCAACAGATTACATTTATGATTCGATTGTTTTGAAATTGATATGTTGTTTGCATCAGTGAGATGAAGAATCCTATTGAATTTACATAATTTCCGTTTTTTCTTCTGGAGTTATGGCCCTTATCCACTTTGTTGAACCTTGTGAATGCTCTAACCACAAAAGTTATCATCTGATCTGTATGAAATTGATAATGCATCATTTAAATTGATGACAGAAGAATCTATTGAATTCCAGCCATTTCTGTTAATTAGGTCTAGAGTTATGGCACTTGTTTCACTTCTTCAACCATGTGAACACTCTAACAACAAAAGTTACAATGGCATTTTTATGCAACGAAGAATCTGTTAATTTCTTCTGGAGTTATAGCCCTTGTTTCAGTTTGTTGAACTTTATGAACACTTGAATGACGAAAGTTATCATCTGATCTGTATGAAATTTATACACATAGTTTAAATTTGTAAAACGAAGAATCTTTTTGAATTTCAGCAATTTCCAATAATTACTTGTAGAGTTATGGCCCTTGTTTCACTTTGTTGAACCTGTCCAATGATGAAAGTTATGACCCGGTCTATATGAAATATATATGCATTATTTGAATAAGTACAACGAAAACGCCTGCCGAATTACTTACATGGTTAAGGCCCCTGTTTCAATTTGTAGAAATGGTGAACCCTCAAATGACAAAAATTATATTCTGATCTGTTTAAAATTGTCTTGTAAATGTCCACAATTATATACAAAAGAATAAATGTTGGAAAAACCTTGGGTGTATGTTTCTTTTTCTGGCAACCCATCTTTTTCTGTGGTTTTTGTTTATTGATAATTGTCTAGTTTATTGTATAATTTGTCTACATGTCACTTTTCTCTTTGTTCCTTATTTATTGTGATGTGATTTGAAATGTTTTTTTTTTATGTTTAAACTTGGGTTACGTTCTCACCTTTGATGTGTAGGCTTATTTATTACGTCTTTTTATGAATTTTTCTTTTTGAATATATTTTGTCACTTTATGGAAAAGAATTGATTTTTCGAATATTTGTTTTTCTCCTCAATAACAACTTCATTTATATTGACATTAAGATAATTTACTGTTTTCATTTAACTTCATAAAAGAGGAAATTTGTTATTTTCAATAAAAAATATTTATTTATTTCTTTTGTTTTTGTTTTTATATCGAATTGTCAATGTACACACACGACCTCGGTTTTTCGTCCCACATGGTTAGCACGTGCGCGCTGTTTCATGAGTCAACTGGGTGATTTCAATTCTCCGGTTGTACGTGACAAGGAGTAGGGTCGCCTGTCCAACTTCGTGGGTTTTTTCGGTGTACTCCAGTTTCCTCCCATTGCTAAATACCCCTACGCACAGGCGAATTATTGAAATAAAATTGAACCATATGTTAGTTCCGAAATGACCTAGTTTGTGTCGAGTGGATGTTAAACTCTACTATCATCTCCACTAAACTGATCTCAAGTATATTTTTACCGACATTTCGCCTAATAGTTTGGATGCAGCTATGGCGCCAGGCAGGGTAAGCTTACTCTTCCGGACACCTGTTACCACTGTTTGTCGTGTATTTTGTACACGAGGAGCAGTCCATTTGCTGATTACACTATTTTGCTTGAATACACTATTTTGCCTATAACGTTTTTTAGGACTTCGAATTCTGTCTTATGGTTTAGATTGTTGTTACTTGGTTTTATTTTATTATTACGCCCAGGGCTAAAAAACAAATCTGTTATTTCTTCAGATATGTCATCAGATACTGGTACATATTTCTCTCTACCAATTTTCTGTTTCCCTAGCTGCATCCAGATTTTCCGGCGTGGTTCCCCCTTGTCAGTGATGCAGGACGGAGGGCCTGACAAGGATAGCTGTCTAGTCCTTCGGATGAGACGAAAAACCGAGGCCCCGTGTATACATTGGAATGCACGTAAAAGATCCCTTGGCAGTTGGAATTCAATATAAGAGTAGGCGATAGTGCCGCTGCCCGGGCAAAATTTCCCTCATAGCACACTGTATGGCGTATGCCCGTCTTCATTAGCCCAGCATAGGAGCAGAACAGTAGGACGTTAAACCCCATTTCATTTCATTTCATTTCCCTAGCTGCGCCAGTAGAGGATGGAGTAATATTGTCTTGTAAATAAACAAAGGCTAAGATAAACTATTAGTTTATATTATGACTGAGTATTGTGTACAGAAAAATACGACTGAATAAACACGAAGAATAAACCAAAAAGCGCCCTCGGAGAGAAGGGAAATAACTCGCAGAAGAGATGGTTCGATTACTCACGATGAGAGCAGTTTGGTTATGTGACGCACCAACTCGCACCGTTAGTGTATTAATTAAACTAATCTAAAACATATATTGGCACTGTAGATAAGAGTTCATCTACAAGATAATCCAATCTGATTAAAACAAAGATTCCATTTTCGTTTCGTTTTTTTGTAGTTCAAAATTTCGTTTTATTTGTCTGTACTTCTGAGGGATTAGCCAATGAAACCTACTGTTACGGCGACTTCTTGGCGTGTCATGCACGGAACTGTGGGTAAACCACTAGAAACGTCAACGTTGATTAATGAATGTATGACGTCATAGGGCCAAAAGCCGCTCGTACGACCCCTGACGCGACCTTTCAGCAAAACTGCACTCGCAAGCCTCAGCAGATTCCAGTACCCTACATCTAGCCTCGGCTGTATGACGAAGTCAGCCATTGGAACTACTTTCAAGTTCCCGGATTACCAATGGCGTTGCCCGTGACGACGCCGTTGAAGAATGTTTTATCATACAAATATTTCAAAGTCTGAAGCTGTTTTTCTTTCAAGTTTATCCGATTTTTTTCAACCAAGGACAACTTTGCACTGAAAATTCTACACACGCTTCGAACGACGCAACTTCATTTTTAAAAAGCGGCAAGTTTTCCTAATAAGTAAACCGGTGCCGCATCGCAATTGCATAGACGTAGGTACATATCACTTACAGTACAGTAACGGAATCTGCCGAGGTTTGCCGAGTGAGCAAAACTGGTCAGATCTTGTGGTTTAGGCCATCGAAAGTATGATACGAAACGAAATATTGATCTGTGTTTTAATCAGACTAGAGTTTTATCAAGAATAAAATTGCCAAGTATAAGTTCAATAATAATAAACATAACAGAATGAAACATTTCAGACAAAGACCGAATAATAATAATAATAACAAAAGTCAAACATATAGATGTTATACATATTTGAAATCAGCGAAACATACTACAGATTTTGATAATACAATTAAATATAAATGAATTAGAAATATATACATTATTTACATAAATCATTCAGTGAATGGACATGAATATAGTTATCTACTATAAAAACGAATGCGAAAAGACTGGTTTGTAAACTGTTTTTTGGTTGGTTCGTAGATTTTATCTACAATCAATTTAGGGCATATAATTTGTAATCGTGGAAATTCTATGGATTAACCCAGTGGAGTAGAACGGAATGAGTACACTGGGGATACCGAGGATGGGTGACCTTCGGTTGCGCGGATTTTCGCAATATGGTCCCAGTCGTGGTCGTGACCAGCCGTACCATACGATAGAGCACGGGATAGTTCAGACTTTAGTGGCAACCATAGTCTACATCCCAAGGTCGTCCATGAGGCCAAGACTTCGGTTCCCGTGTTAGCTGAGGCTCCCACTTTTAAAGTTTATTAATTACGTCAGAACTAAGTTTGCCTATTGTAGATCTTGAGTTTGACCTCAAATGTTATATAAATCATTAATTAGACATTTATTCAAATCCCAAGCCTGTAAGCAACTCTCTAGACCATCGGATGGTCTACAGTTAATAATTTAATTAAACAAGCGGTTGCCATCCAAGATACATCCACTTGTAGCAAGAGACGGACAGAGAACAAAAAGCTATTTTTCGTACAATCAGGGGCCATAACCAAAACCTATTTTTCGTACAATCAGGGGCCATGATCCAGGAAGTTGGGACACGATACGCGCAAGTATCTACATAAACCCAATCTTTGGGATATAAACATATGTTTAAATGTATTTTTAAAACCGGATAAAAATTGTGACATCTAGAGTGTTCACAAGCTAAAAACGTGATTTTCGGACAATGTTGAAGTAGAAAAATGGATAAATGTTTATCTGCAGAAATGGCAATCGAGACTACACTATTCTTCAAATGGCCATAACTTCGTTCACACTGAAATAAATTCCCTTTCCATTCTTAATTTTGTTAACTATTATAGTGAGAACTGTCCATTCTCTATCGAAATCTTACACATGATGCATTTTAAAGATACATTATGGGAGATTAGATAACGAGCTGGCAGTTCTCACTATAATAGTTAAAGACTAAATAATATAAAGGCAATTTGCTGAAAATTTCATTCAAATTGATCCACTATGAACCGAGAATTAAGCGATCATCATTACTAAAGTCTCCACGATAAACAGCATAGTCTCGATTATCCATTTAATCATGAAATCGTGAAGGAAAGTTCTGCAGTAAATCGGCTCATAATCCACTAAAGATCGCGGGCTAGCGGTGCCATCGAGATGATCTTGTTTTGTTATTTGTTAATAAATGTCTAATTAATAATTTAGAAACATTTCAGGCCTAAAGAAAGATCTGCAATAGGCAGATTCAGCTCTTGCATAATGTATGTTTAATTGTATTATCTTTTAAAGCGCCTAACTGACTCCGTGCGCTTGACAGAGCCACGTTACATGACAGGGCAATAACATATTTTATAAATAGACACGAAGGCGAATTATTTGCTGGGGGGGGGGGAATTTCTGACCAGTGGATTTATACAACTTTTTTTCTCTTAGAATTTGAATCTATTTGGGGTCAACCTCTATTTGGGGTCAAACCTCTATTTTGGGGTCAAACCTTGATTTAGGGTCAAACCTCTAAGTGGGGTCAAAAGTAAAAAATGACCACCCACACGACAGTGACATTGGTAGACATATATCACCCTAGTCTACCAGTATTTGTTTGATGGGATTCGAATGACCACTAAGCCTCTGGACTTAGAAAAAAAAACCTGAAAAACAAAGCCCATATTTGATAGCAGCAATATTTGGCCCTGAGAACATCGAAGTACAGACGATATAAAATTTATTCAACAAGGCGGATTTAAGACCAATTATTCGTGGTTATGGTAAAAACAAATTATCAAAGATTCTTTTGTTTCGAGAAAATTGGCAAGAATTGATATATTCGGGATTCTTTGATAAATCGAGGAATGTTCTGAAATTCATAAACTTCGTATCCTTCTTCGTATAAATCCTCATCCAGTGATTCTTCGGTGATATCCAATCCCCTGTCTTTCAGCGTTCCTATAATAATAATAATAATAATAAATAAAAATAATAATAATAATAATAATAAAAATAAATTATAATAATAATAAATTATAATAATAAATATAATAATAATAATAATAATAATAATAAAAATAAAAATAAAAATAATAATTTTTTAACACTGGCGGAAAAGTAAGCCAATTAAAACAGGTAGGTTTTGAATTTTTGTTTAAATCCGCTGAGAGATTGGGCTGTCGGTAGATGTAGTAGAAGAGAGTTCCATGTATGTGCTGCATTATAGGCAAATGATCTGGAGTCAAATGACTTAAGTTTATATTTTTGAACAGTTAATAAACACCGGGAACCAGATCTAGTTGATATAGTTGGAGAGTATAGCCCCGTTCACACATGACCGCGATAAACGTGCCGACACGTTACCAGGCCGCGATAAATTCCAAGAAATTGAACCGTTTATAATAACTGATACCGGAACTGTGCCAGGCACGCCAAATGTGGTGATATACACAGAAAAGTTAATTTATGCAAAGTATGGGGATGAAAATAATTATTGCGGTTGATTTAGTTTGGGCATCCATTTTGACAGAACTGATGACAGATCTGTAAAAGACCACGGGAAAAAAGGTTAAGGTTCATTTGGCGCATGCCCAGTAATCCGTACTGATTACCGTTCTCAGACTGGATAGCGTTTACACAACGAAAATTTAACCGTGCCGTGCCTGGCACCGTGACGAGATTACCTCAGTTCAGTGGGCCAATTGGCACGGTACTCGGTATGACCTGTTAATGTTTGACCTGTTTACACTACAAAAAAAAAATAACCGTGCCGTGCCTGGCACGCTTACAATTTGTAATGTAAACGAGGTTTATGAATAGTATTACATAAGTAGCCCGGTGCCGTGAAGTGTTTACACTTATAAGTTAGGGTTAGAAATGAAATGAGGTTTAACGTCCTACTGTTTTGCTCCGAACTGGGCTAATGAAGACGGGCATACGCCATACAGTGTGCTATGCGGGAAATTTTGCCCGGACAGCGGCACTACGGCATACTCTTATATCGAATTTCAACTGTCAAGGGATCTTTACGTGCACGCCAATGTGTACACGGGACCTTGGTTTTTCGTCTCATCCGAACGACTAGACAGCTGTCCTTGTCAGGCCCTCCTGCCTGCATCACTGACAAGGGGGAACCACGCCGGAAAATCTGGGTGAACTTTCTCGGCCAATGCATGGAATGAACACACCATCTCCAGGCTAGCGAGCCAGCGTCTTACCCACTTAGCCACCGTGACCCCCAACGTTAGGGTTAGAACTTTAAAGTAAAGTAACATGTCAATCATTTGTGGAGATGGTTTTATTCGTGTAACTGTATTCTGAAGTTTTTCGAGACGATGGATGTTTTTCAGCTGAGATTTTATACATAAAATCCAATTTTTCAAATACTTATTAAAGGAGAATTTTCGTCGCTGTAGACTTTGTTATACTTTGTTAAAGGAGAACTTCAACCGTGTGGATATTAGTGGGTTAAACAAATACCTTGAACGGTATTATCTAAACGTTATTGAAATAGTTTAAACAATAAGAACATACCTGGAACGATATTATTTAAATTAAATAGTTTAAACAATAAGAACATACCTTGAAAAAAAATTATTTAAAGGGACTATCCCGATTTGAACAGAGACTCAAAAATAAATGTCCGAGTACGTATAAAATTTAAGCGCCAAAATATAGAGGAGTGGTGTATTTACCTTGTCTCAAAATTTCAGCTCAAAATATTGAGTCGTTTGGACATGAACATCAAAACTGCTTATCCGAGCACGTAACCCTTTTAAGATTTCGGGTCAGTTTTTTCGTTGGGTGACTTGATGATCGATTCCTGTTCCTTGAGAGGTCTGTACAGTGCACGATCCACGTGCTGTACTTGATAACGAAAGGTAAATTTCGCCAACACATTATTTTTATAAAAAAAAAAACTTATTTTATCCAGATACCGCATAATACATCTTGAGACACCGGTCTCCATTTCCAGATGAAGACAGATGGGTTTAAGTTGTTTGAAAACGTATCACAAATATTGAGTTAGTTGCTCGGTCCTTAGGTAGACGATTTTAAGGGATTTTAACACAAAATTAAGCAGTTTTATTCTCCAAAACAATATCGGGATTGGCCCTTTAAATCTTATTGAAATTGCTTAAAGAAATATGAACATACCTGGAACGGTATTATCTAAGAAGAAAGCAATAAATCCACCAACAAAACCACCATTGGACATTAACATTAAAAATATATTATCTATATGAGCATTCCCTGAAATAAACAAATAATTTGATATTAACGTCAAAAATATATTGTCTTTTTGAGCTTTTCATGAAATACACAAATAATTTGATAAGAAAGAGAGACAGAGAGATAATACTGACTCGCTAACCAGGATGTCTTGGGTAACTCGCCCACAGTTCCTCTGTGTTTTCCGGCTTGGTTGCGCTGTGGCAACAAGAACTTCTGGCCGTTCTGATGGGACAAACAACCGAGGTCCTTATGTATACGTTGATGGGTACGTACAGTAACCCGTGAAAATTGGAATTCGAAACAATAGAAGGTCTGTGCTCGTCTCCATTAGACCGATTGAGGGAGAGAGAGAGATAGAGAGAGAGAGAGAGAGAGAGAGAGAGAGAGAGAGAGACCCACCTGTTTTGATTGCATCCTGATTTTTCTCCGCCCAGTAAGGTAACATCAATCCTAGTAGAATAGCTATACCAACAATAGCCAAATTACGAGTTGAATTTAAATCTATAAATTGTAGATTTGACAAGATGAGACCAATAAAAATACCAAAACTTAGAATCATACATCCACCGAGTACTGGATACGGTATGGTGATAAATACAGCACTTATCTTTAATACGATAGAGAATATTATATACATGATAGCCATCACCTGAAATACTCGTCGACTGGCAACCTACAATATATAAACAACACAGGGTATGGTGATAAATACAGCACTTATCTTTAATACGACAGAGAATATAATATACATGATAGTGATTAATGCAGGGCTATCTGAACATTAGGGGGGTTGGGATAGAGTGTCACGCTTCGACCTCTTGCTGGTCGGTCAGCTATGGCTTGCGGTTGTGGTTTCGATCCCTGGTGTGAGCGTATGTGGCTTGAAGATAGGGGCGCCTTCGCAACCTCGTGTTTACAAGATAGGGGCGCCTTCGCAACCTCGTGTTTACTCCGTGTACTCCGGTTTCATTCCACGGGAAAGGCGCGTGCGCTAAGATAATACAATTAAAAATAAGAAAACTTGTCGGCAATATCACCCTCGGTGGAAGCGGACGTTAAAAAAACTAAGAAGAACAATCTGAACAACAGAACCAGCAGATGGCGCAGTCGATAGTCATCATACCACATGATTAAAACATCACTTGTTCCATTGGTGTTTGTCCGACCGGTCCGCACGGGTGGGACAAACAATCGTGATCCCGTGTGTACATATTGCGTACCCGTAAAATTATTCGATATATGTGTAGGTCGTAGTACCACTGTCCGGACAAAATTTCCCTCACAGCACACTGTGACGTGTGCTGTAGGACAGTAGGACGTTAAACCCCATTTCATTTCATTTCCATTCCGATGTTTGCAGCTTTGTACCCGCTATCAATATAGTGCAGGATAGTGGACCTGGCAATCCCAAAGGAAAAGCATTTGGACGTTAGGTTTACCTTAGTGATGCCCACGGCGCCAATGTTTCCGCCATATGACACAGTAGCATGACAAGCACCTGTTGTACCAGCAAAGAAACTCATCACCCCTTCCAGAAAGATTCCTCTATTCACAGCATGCGATGGTGGTGGTGGTACTAAACAAACTCTAGCTGCTGCATTATAATCTCCAATAGAATCGATGACTGACATAAATGTCGCCACTAAGCAACTAATAAACGCTGCCACGCTAAAACCCATCATACCAAACTGACCTGAAACATTTTTAGATAACAATAATGACTGTACCATGGACCAGGAATTGAACATGACGTCATCACAGCCATCTTGGAATTGTGACGTCACATGAAAAAATCATCACAGCTATCTTGGAATTGTGACGTCATATCAAAAGTCATCGCAGCCATCTTGGAATTGTGATGTCATATCAAAAATCGTCGCCGCTATCTTGACGTCATATCAAAATCGTCGCAGCCATCTTGGAATTGCGACGTCATATTAATAATCGTCACAGCCATCTTGGAATTATGATCTTATATCAATAGTCCGTCAATCGATGCGCAATGTTTCCAGGAACAAGCATGGCAAGTTTCGTACTTGAATTGGTGCAGCTTTAGGCTTTTTTCGGCGAGCTTCACCCTAAGAAAACGTAGAAGAGCAAGAAGATGAGTAATGCTTGGGTGTAGTTACCTAAATCAGCTTATATGTGCCAAGGAGTATGGTCGCCTAGCTAAACTCATGGGTCCTTTCTACGGGTCCTCTGGTGTCTTTCCACTGTTAAAGACCTCTACACGCAATCGGATTTTTGAAAAAAAATTGAACCATATGTTAGTCCCGAAGTGATCTAAATTATGTCGACTGGGCGTTCAACCCCATTTCCCCCTCTCTCTCTCTTCATTTCGTTCTTACCTGGATAGGCGATATAAAACCAAGGGCTTTTAAAAATGATGTCATTTCTGCTGTCTGTTCTGGCGTAGTAATGGATATGGTTCCGGTCGTCAGACATTGAACCTGAAACAGTTAAAATGGCGCTCAATGTCCACCCCGCCATAATTGAAAACAGTATCTGTAAAAAAACGAAAGTAGCAAGACAAAGAATTTAACTGAAAACAATACACGTAAACTGTATAGACATCTTCTTTATTCCTTGGAGCCACGGTGGCTAAGTGGGTAAAACGCTTGCTCGCTAGCCTGGAGGTCGCGTGTTCAATACCTGCATTGGCCGAGAAAGTTCATTGAGATTTTCCGACGTGCTTTCCCTTTGTGAGTGATGCAAGACGGAGGGCCTGACAGCTGTCTAGTCATTCGGATGAGACGAAAAACCGAAGTCCCGTGTATACATTGCCCTGCACGTAATATATCCCTTGGCAGTTGGAATTCGATATAAAAGTAGGTCATAGTGCCGCTTCCTGGGCAAAATTCCCTCATAGCACACTGTATGGCGGATGCCCGTCTACATTAGTCCAGTCGGAGCAGAACAGTAGGACGTTAAACCCCATTTCATTTCATTTACTTATTCCTTAACATAATAATATACTCTACATCAACCATTTATGCACGAAAATTTAAATCATTGCATAAGTGGTCGCCATCTTCATTAGCCGTGTGGAGCAACAGGACAGTAGGACGTTAAACACCATTTCATTTGATTTTGCATTAGTGGTCGATGTTGCAAAAGTAGAACGTAGAGTGAAATTTGACTGGAATAATTTCTTTTCTTTTTTGTCATTTTCAATATATATTTCACCCTTATGAAATGAAATGAAATGAAATGGGGTTTAACGTCCTGCTGTTCTGCTCCTATACCGGGCTAATGAAGACGGGCATACGCCATACAGTGTGCTATGAGGGAAATTTTGCCCGGGCAACGGCACTATCGTATACTCTGCACCACTGACATGAGGAAACCACGTCGGAAAATCTGGATGAACTTTCTCGGCCAATGCAGGGATCGAACACCCGACCTCCAGGCTAGCGAGCCAGCGCCTAACCCACCTAGCCACTGTGGCTCCTTTCACCCTTATGACCCTTTACGATTGTCAGAATCGTTATTGGTGTATTCATCTTGCGCATTATCATAGGAAATGTCATTTCAAGATCCATGTTTTGTCATTTTCATCATTTGTTTCATCCTGATGATTGTGGGAATCTTTAATATTGATAAATTCATCGTGCATGTTATCATGGGGAAACATCATTTCAAGATCCATTTGATGGGGACGTTACAATTTTTCATTAGTGAAATTTCATTGTCGAAAACAGTTGTCAAACATGTGCTCCGAGTAATCAGAAGAAAAACGATAGCTTAGTCTTTAAAAAAGGAAGCTGACAACCACGGATATTGCGGGATATTGCCAATCTTATTTTCGCTCTGCGATCGACAACCTGTTCCCATTGAAAAATATGCATGACCAGTCGAAGAAGTTGTGCATTGTATAATGAAATAGTTGGGCTTTATATAAATAATTATGATAATATTTCAGTGAAGGTTTGACAGATATCTATGGTCTACTTACAGCAAAAACAGTATGTAATGGATACCATTTTACATAAAAACCTCGTTTTTTGTTGTAGCCTGGTAAAGGTGTCTTTTTACCGTTTAAATACAGAGCTAAAACCAGACCAGTTCCCGTCGTTCTGAAAAACAATAACAATGGGCGTCCTCGCTAGAGAGAGAGAGAGAGAGAGAGAGAGAGAGAGAGAGAGATTGGGTTTAACGTCCACTTGACACAAACTAGGTCATTTCGGGACGAACATATATTTTATTTCATTAATTCGCTTGCGCGTAGAGGTGTGTAGCAGTTGGAGGAAACCGGAGGACCCGGAGAAAACCCACGAGGTTGGACAGGCGACCCTACTCCTTCTCACGTACAACCGGGGAATCGAAATGGCAGACCGTATGATACAGCGCGCACGTGCTAACCATTCGGCAATCTAACCCGCTCCTCGCTAGAGATAAAGGGGGATAATTTATAAGTGACACTATTGAGCAGGCGGACCCACGTGACGTCATTGGTTACCTAATAATTACAATATTGTTTTCCTGTACATTCATTACGTTCTGGTATGTTGACAAACGTTAGTTTTTATCATTGAAATGGAATTTAATCCCGATAGGTCGAAATTCGGTTCTCTTACCATCGATAAGGTCACGTGGAACCGAGTTTTTACCAGCGGCGCCTGGTGGGAATTTGTTCAGCGAGGACGCTCATTCCGCCGTAAAATCCAAGTACCGGAAGTAATCATGAAAATATATATCTTCTATATAAATAAGTAGTTGTTTTTCCATAAGTATGTATTATATAGAGTCTTTTTTTATATCAAAAAATATCAACACAAGTCGATAAAGTAAAAAAAAACCGAGGCTCTGCCGAGATTTGTTTACTTTATCGACGAGTGTTGATATTTTTGGAGATCGTTTGATAACATTGTAAAGTCCTTTATATTGACCCAGCGTTTCCATCAATGTCAATTAAATAAAGATAGTTCATTTTTAATAAAAGAAAAAGAAGTTACTTTTAATAACAAATGAACTGTTCTTCGAAAATAAAAAAAAGTAGTTCCTTTTTGATTGACCAATCAAATTCACGTAAAGCCATATCTTCTAAGGAGATATCACAGTAGATTATAAAATTTATCACACAAGCGATATCTTACTGTAGAATGTATTATTGGGTGATAAAGTTTATTACATGTATAAAAGGTTATCGCATTTAATCATATACTGGTCAGCTTTATGTATTGGGGGTCATTACCTAAAGTTTGTTGACAGTTCAAGATTGAAGGTTAATAAATGTCTTAAATTATTGGATTACAATATCGCCCCATATAGATATAACGTAAATACAACTAAATTCGTGATTGGCGTTGGGTACCAAAGCAGCATCACAATGAAGTAATTTAACAATGGGATTTCTAAGAAAGAAGTAAATTTAAAGTAGCTAAGTCCGTAACTCAATATCATCCAAAATCTTCGACATTGAAAACACGAATTATTTTGCAATTTAAATCAGCATTGGTGTTGTGATCTTACCTGGAAAAGATGGGCTTCTGATATCCAATATTTAAGACAAAATAAACATAATTTAACCATTGGTACACGAATCGTGTACCATAATGCGTTTCAGCGCCATTTGTAACAAGGTGCTCAAAGAATGAGGCTAGACACATTCCACAAGTCATGTCAAACGGTGATGTCATATTCTTATTTGGAGAGCATGCGCAATAAATACTATCGGTGTTGACTGGAATAACCAGACGCTAGAGAAACTAACTTTCGGTTGAGACTTCTGGCGTATTTTGCCGAACATAACTGATGATAATTCACAGTAAAACGGAAACGATTGAATGTATTACATTATTATATGTGTTGCCACATTTGTGCCTGTTTCTAGGTCCAAAATATTAGCGATTTAGCTCCTTTAATTGTAGAAGTGAAACATGGCGTGGATTATAGATTATATTTAGAAAATCAATTAAAACGATTTCTAAACGATGCATTCTCTATTTAGAATGATCGAATTGGCAACCTTGCAGGTTTGCAAGAAATAGTGAATGATTTAGATTTGTATATCAAATTTACAAGTGAAACGAAAGAACGGCAAATCGCATTATTGGGGGTTCTAATGAAACGAAGGGGTTTAATCCTAATTACGGATATGTATTCTAAAAAAAAACAGATACCAAACACTATCTCTCTTGTAAATCATGCCATCCATTAAAAACATTGAAACAGCATTATAATACCCCAGTGAGGTGATAGAAGTTCGTATAAATATACCCAAATTTGTGGGCTGCTACTAGAGTAAAGAACAAATCGGATAATATTATTACTCTTGTCTCTACCCATAACTCTCAACATGCCAATGCACGAGTGGGAGACAGAAGTGGTTTCGATTCCCCGGTTGTACGTGACAAGGAGTAGGGTCGCCTATCCAACCTCGGGGATTTTCCTCACACATGTTAGTTATTGAAATAGAATTGTTAGTCCCGAAATAACCTAGTGGTCAATAACCCCCCCCCCTCTCCCTCTCTCTCTCTCTCTCTCTGGTCCACACATAAACTTCACGTAAATTGAGACTGCTGATCTATTTTGTGGATAGAATTTAAACTTACATGGCAGCTACTCCCCAATGTTTTTCTGAGAATTTAACAGCCACAGTATAAATAGAAAGTCCAACTAAAGTTATTGTGGGAACGATTGTGATTGGTCCAATATATCTGGCGAATACACCAACTAATCCAGTAAAACCAATCAAAAGATGTATAACACCAGCTGCCATTAAACCCCCAGATATCTGAAATACACAATTATACATTACACCCCTAGATATCTGAAAGTTATACATTACACCCCCAGATATCTGAAAAACACAGTTATACATTACACCCCCAGATATCTGAAATACATAGTTATACATTACACCCCCAGATATTTTAAATACATAGTTATACATTACACCCCCAGATATCTGAAATACATAGTTATACATTACACCCCCAGATATCCGAAATACATAGTTATACATTACACCCCGAGATATCTGAAATACACAGTTATGCATTACACCCCTAGATATCTGAAATACACAGTTATACATTACACCCCTCAGATAACTTAAATACATAGTTATACATTACACCGCCAGATATCTGAAATACACAATTATGCATTACACCCCTAGATATATCTGAAAGTTATACATTACACCCTTAGATATCTAAAATACACAGTTACACATTACACCCCCAGATATCTGAAATACATAGTTATACATTATACCCCCAGATATCTGAAATATACAATTATGCATTACACCCCCAGATACCTGAAATACATAGTTATACATTACACCACCAGATATCTGAAATACATAGTTATACATTACACCCCTAGATATCTGAAATACACAGTTATACATTACACCCCTAGATATCTAAAATACACAGTTATACATTACACACTTAGTTATCTGAAATACACAGATCTACATTGCACTCGTGAATAAACAAAAGAAACTGTGTATATATCTTACTGCCTGTATTTTACTGTATGTTAATTCTCTGGTTTCATTTAAACTGATGGCACCACCAAAAATACCAGCAGTACCATTTACAGAAGATAACGAGTCTGAAATAATTACAAATTATTATATTAGTTAAACATCACAAGTCTCTTGAGATTGGAATTTAAATTTGTAACATCGAACGATAATCACCCGTAATATTTACCAGGCTAGTTATAGTAATACTTACCACATGACATTAATAGTAACAGTAATACTTACCATATGACATTAATAGTAACAGTAATACTTACCATATGATTAGTAACAGTAATACTAGGTGACGCTGGTAGTAACAGTAATACCAGGTGACACTGGTAGTAACAGTAATACCTACTACATGATGTGACTAGTAACAGTTATACTTACCATGTGGTAAGGCTAGTAACAGTAATACCTACCAGATGGCATGGCTAGTAACATTAATACGTACCACGTGGCATGGCTAGTAACATTAATACATACCACGTGGCATGGCTAGTACCAGTAATACTTACTATGTAGCATAAATAGTAACAGTAATACATACCAATTGATATGGCCAGTACCAGATATACTTAACACGAGACATCGTTAGTAGCAGTAATACTTACCAGATGGCAGATGGCATGTGGTAGTTTTAGTAATCATTACCACGTGGCATGGCTAATAACGCTAATACTTACCAGGCGACGTGGGTAGTAACAATAATACCTACCACGTGATGTGGCTAGTAACTGTTACACTTACCACGTGACATACGTACCAGGTGACGTGGTCAGTAACATTAATACGTACCACGTGGCATGGTCAGTAACAGTAATACCGTGTTACATGGCTAGTAACCATAATACTTACCATGGCTAGTACCAGTAATATTTACTACTTGGCATGCCTATTAACAGTTATACTTACACTTGGCATGCCTAGTAACAGTAATACTTACCACGTGATATGGCTGGAAATAGTTATACTTACCACGTGGCATTGCTAATAACAGTAATACTTACTAGGTGACACTGTAGTAACAATAATACCTACCACGTGACATGACAAGTAACAGTAGTAATACCAGTGTGTCATGACTAGTAACAGTAATACCTACTACGTGTCATGAATAAACACAGTACTAATACCTACCATGCTAAATGACTGGTAACAGTAGTAATACCTACCACGTGTCAAGACTAAACACAGTAATACCTACCACGTGTCATGACTAAACCTAAACACAGTAATACCTACCATGCGACATGACTGGTAACAGTAATACTTAAAACGTGACATGGTTAGTAACAGTAATACTTACCAGTTGAAACATGATAGTTAGGACAATAGAATTCCTTTAATGTTGACATGGCTAGTAAAGGAATTATATAGGGTAAAGCTGGACCCTGATAAATAGGAATTCTGCGGAAATAAAGAAAGAGAGAACTTGATTAATGGACATGCTTAGTACCAGTAGGACTTACCAGATGACAAGCTATAGTTTGGACAGTAGAATTCTTTCAATGTAGACATAGCTATTAATGGTATTATATATGTTAAAGCTGGCCCCTGATAAATAGGAATTCTGTGGAAGTAAAGAAACACCGAAACTGAGTTTTATGATTCACCGGCACCAATGGCGCTATATCGCGCGAACCGCATGCTGATCACATCAGTATAATAAATCTATATACATTCTGATCAAGTATTATTTCTGGACCAGGAACTGTTCCCCGGGCGATTCTCGTCTTGTTCTTGGGGCGACACTCTTCGAAACTCAAGTACAATCGGCATGAAACTTGACATACTTGCCTTAACGTCACAATTCACAATTCCAAGATGGCTGCAATGACGTCATGCTCGGTCCCTGATCCAGTGTGTGTTAGAAACTGATCAAGATTTTCTACGTACCGAACTCCAAACGCAAAAAAAACCAAAACAAATCAAGATTTTCTACTCTACGTACCGAACTCCAAACGTAGAAATAAAATCATGATTTTCTACTCTACGCACCGAACGTTAAACGTAGAAACAAATCACGCTTGGCTATAGATAGAACGTTCGTGTTTATTAGAAACAAATAAAGATTGGCTACATACCGAACTCCAAACGTAGAAACAAGGAATGTGGATATACCAGACATCAACATGGTGGTACTCAGAATTTTAGTTTTAATCTCATCATCATCTCGTGCACATACTAACTCAGCTACCACTACTGACATTGACATAGAACTAGATATTGTTGTCAGCATTTGCTAAAATGGATAATATAAAATATATGATAGATTTAACGAGAACAAAAACATGCATAGATGTTTCTAGAAACATAAAAGAAATGAGTTTTAATGTTCTATTGTTCAACTCCGATTTTAATGTCCTATTTTTCATCTCCGATTGATCTAATGACTACACCGTGTTTGTGATGTAATTAATACACCTTATGTGTGATGTAATGAATACACCTTATGTGTGATGTAATGAATACACCTTGTGTGTGCGATGTAATTAATACATCTTATGTATGATGTAATGAATACAACGTGTGTGTGATGTAATGAATACACCTTGTCTGTTATGTAATGAACACACCTTGTGTGTTATGTAATGAATATACCTTGTGTATGTGATGTAATTAATGCATCTTCCTTATGATGTAATGAATACAACTTGTGTGTGATGTAATGAATACATCGTGTGAGTGTGTTATGTAATGAATAGGCCATGTGTGATGTAATGAATACACCGTGTGGTGTAATGACACCGTGTGTGATGTAATGAATACACCCCGTGTGTGATGTAATGACTATACCGTGTGTGTAATGTAATGACTACACCTTTTATATAATTTACCTGTATAGCGAACATAAAGGTGAGATGAACTGGAGGATTATCACTAATCCTGTATATCAACCTCTTTTCACGTTCATGTATTATAACTACAGATTTATCTTTCCTTGGTGCCAACTCGCCATTTGTAGGTTTCTCTGTTAATGGTTCCAACTCGCCATTTGTAGGTTTCTCTGAATCCGGTCTGGATAAATTCATCTTAATCTGAATATAAAAACAATTATATTGCTGTATCGTTTCAATTATAGCGTTGTAAATCAACTACAAGAAGGAAATGAAATGAAATGTGGTTTTATGGCACGTCAGCTCCAACCGGGCTATATTGCGCCAAACATATGGTGAAAATTACGAGACAGGCTAAATTATATCACAGAAAACCATTATATGCATAAATAAAAACAATATCACAGTTAATAAAATTAAAAATAAAATACAACTTTTATGCATATAAATATTAAATCCAAAAATGACATGATATATATATATATATATATATATATATATATATATACAATTAAAATTTATTATAAAAACCTGTCTCCTTTAAAAAGTCTAACACTTTACCATATAAACCCGGTTGGGCAAACATGTGATGTAGTGACTGACAACGGTAAAATTGCGATCTTATATCTTTGAGATGCTTGCACTCAATCAAAATGACTACAAGAAGGGACCAGAACGTCTTTGTCAATAACTCCGAGAGTGAGAGAGAGAGAGAGAGAGAGAGAGAGGGTTTAACGTTCACTCGACACAAACTAGTTTAACTCCGGACTAACACATGGCTCAATTTTATTTCAATAATTCACTTACGCGTATGGGTCTTTGGCAGTGGGAGGAAACCAGAAGACCCGGCGAAAACCCACGAGGTTGGACAGGCGACCTTACTCCTTGTCACGTACAACCGAAGAATCGAAACCACGCTAGTTGACCCAATGATACACCCCCCCCCCCACTCCGCCCATCAACAAGGAAAGATATCTTACCCATATGCATATTATACATAGCATGTAAAAAAATATTTGATCTCATGAAAACTGAAAAAATTATGGATAATTGAAATTTTGACAGAAACGGTGTAGTATATAGACGTAAGGTCGAACTATACCTAATAGACACACGGACAAACTATACCTTACACTGGATAACTAATCTGTGTGATATGTTGATTTGATATGTAAAGTAATTGGGGTGATATCATTAAAGATTATGATATGATATGTAGACTATACACATATCTATAACATATATTTGTTTGTCGGTCATGTTTTGTTTGAGTGCTACTGATAAATATAAACAATAGAAAACACTCTTGTTCGCTGATTAATATTGCCCTCCATAATTGAACTGGGCCGGTTGCTCAAAGCTCTGTTATCTTTTAACGATCCGTTAACATGGAGTTAACGGGTCGTTAACTTTAACGGAGAGAAAGGTTGTTGCTGGAAGCACCGTTAACTTTAACGTGTAGTGAACTTGGCGTTATATTTAACGGAGGTGTTGGTCTCCGTTATCTGTTTAATGATGGTATTAGTTGGCTGTAGCAAAAAGTCATAGATTACATTTATATTAAAATTTACAATAAAACCCCGTTTCTTCCAAAACAATCTGATGAAAACACAGATCGTATTTCGTTTCGTTTTTTTCTAGTTCAAAATTTCGTTTTACTTGTCTTTACTACACTAGTAGGGTAGGCCATCGTAAGTATAAAGAAACGAAACGAAATATAGATCTATATTTTAATCAGATTGCTTCCAAAAAATTTAGCATTTCGCAATATAACTCAGGTTGGGCAAACCAGTGCTGAAGTGATTAGCAACGGTAATGCTCGAGATGCTAGCACTTAAAGACATTAAGAAAGATAGATCCTCTTCAAGGTAATGATATCGTGTCCCATCATATTTGATAAACTTACATTGCTTGATAAAGACAAGTCGCCCAGAGTAATCTATGATATTATAAACTGTTTATTTCCAGCCCAGTTACCAAATGCTTGATAAAGATGGACGAATCCTTGCTTAGAAATAATCAGTAATTATATTCCATGGAAAATAAAATGAAATGAGGTTTATAACATCCTACTGTTCTGTCCCGACTGGGCAAGTGCCAGTGAAGATGGGCATACGCCATACAGTGTACCATGAGGGAAAGTTTTCCCAGACAGTATCCCTACGGCCTACCCGTACATCGAATTCCAATTGCCAAGAGTACTTTGATCACAGGGTGTGTCACTGAGTGAACTTGCGTGGTTTTGATTCCCCGGTTGTACGTGACAAGGAGTAGGGTCGCCTGTCCAACCTCGTGGATTTTCTCCGGGTCCTCCGGTATCCTCCCACCGCTATAGAACCCTACGCGCAAGCGAATGATTGAAATAAAATGAACCATGACGTGTTAGCCCCCCTCTCTCTCTTAAGTGCACTATCCCATCCGAACGACTTCATGTTATCCCTCGGTCTTGCACCACTGTCCACTGACGGAAAATACCAAGGAACTTTCTCGCCCAACACCTGAAGCGTGCCGAAGACCTCCGAGTTAGCGAGGCAATGTCGTACGTACTGAGTCACCACAGCTCCATATTCCATAGAATTTTGTCCTGTGTATGTCCAGTATAAAGTTATACAAGAGACTTGGCCACTTTAAGAAATATATTATTGATAAAAATCTTAAAATAATATTTTAACAAAAATAAAAATAAAAGTACAGACTTGTCACCCTTCCCTCCTTCCTGTATCATGTTCAACCACTGATATGAGAAGTGTATATGATATATCATAACATATTTTTATAGGGAACTGTGTATTATTATGCCCATGCATTTATCACGTGTTAACATAGGGTATACGATCGTGTCCATGAATACCACGTTTTACATCTACGATCCCTTTTGGCCTTGACAGTGATATTTGCAATTATTAGTAAATGAAAACTTAATTAAAGTCTCGAAGCAAATGAAAATAAAATCCTAGGCTGAACCGATTGGGATAATAAAGACTAAGCAAATGAAAAAATAATTATTTAAACGCCAATGTGTACACAGTTCCTCGGTTTTTAGTCCCATCCGAACAACTATGTGTCAAATACGTCAATAAGAAACTATATATGTGCAAAGTTTTGTGTTTCTGAATCAAAGATATTTCTCATAAACTGTGATTGAAAGTTGAGTAAATTCTTTCACTTACAATCTGATTAAAACACAGATCCTATTTCGTTTCGTTTTTTATAGTTCAAAATGTCGTTTTACTTGTCTTCACAACACTAGGATCTGGAAGAGTTGTTATATAACCCGGGTTCTGGTTGAAATCAGAGATTAGCCAATGAAATGGTCTGTTGTTGAATTCTTGGCGTGCGATGCACGGTACTGTGGGCAAAACATTAAAAATGTCAATGCTGATTCATTAATCAATGTCTGACGTCACAGGGCCAAAAGCCGCTCGTGCGACCTGACACGACCTTCCACTACAACCGGTCAAATCGAAGTAGAGGCCATCGAAAGTATAAAAAACGAAACGAAATATAGATCTGTATTTTAATCAGATTGGTACTACAGGAATCACTTGCAAATTTCACTATTATGAAAGATCGATCACTAATAGGAATATCAGCTTAAAATAGGATAATCAGTTCATTTCCGTTCAGTATTTAAAAAGATTTGTTGAGAGAGAGAGAGAGAGGAATGGGGTTTAAAGTCCACTCGACACAAACTAAGTCATTTCGGGACTAATATATGGTTTAATTTTATTTCAATAATTCGCTTGCGCGTAGGGGTCTTTAGCAGTGGGAGGAAACCGGAGGACCCGAAGAAAACCCACGAGTTTGGACAGGCGACCCCACTCCTTGTCACGTACAACCGGGGATTCGAAACCACGCCAGTTGACTCAATGACAGACCTCATGATACAGCGCGCTCGTGCTAACCATTCGGCCATCCAACCCCCCAAAAAGATTTGTTGAATCTATGCTTCCCGCCGTCATATTTTCTTGGGGGGGGAGGGGAGGGGGTATGGCGGGGTCTAGAGTGCCGCGCTTCGACCTCTAGCTGGCCGCCGGTCATCTCTGCCTTGTGATTGTGGTTTCGCTCCCTGGTGTGAGCGTATGTGGCTTGGAGAAAGGGGCGCCTTCTCAACCTCGTGAATTTACTCCGGGTACTCCGGTTTCCTCCCACAGGAAAGACCCTTACGCGTGTGCTAAGATAATAATAAAAAAATGAAAAATAAGACTTGTCTGCGATGTCACCTTCGATGGAAGTGGACGTTAAAACACTAAGAACAACATATTTATTGGTAGAGGAGAAGCCGGATGGGCTAAGTTTAAATCCGGCTGTATCGACGAAATGAGATTATTTTTGTTATCCTAATTAAATATTATATAAACAGCCTGATTACATATATTAATGTTGATGTGTTAGCGAAAAATTCAAATGACGCACCCTTACTTTAAAAATTTCTTAAAGATGGCTACACCCCAGAAAAAAAATCTGTTTATTTGTCGAATTGAGTGTGAAGAATAATTGTCTGGTTGAATGACGGGGCTTAACGTCCACTCGACACAAACTTGGTCATTTCAGGAGTAACATATGTTTCAATTTTATGTGAATAATTCGTTTGCTCGTAGGGTTATTTAGGAGTGTGTGTGGGGGGGGGGGGGCGGAGGAATCGGAGAAAACCCACGAGGTTGGACAGGCGACCCTACAACCGAAGATCGAACCCACGCCAGTTGACTAAATGACATACCGTATGATACAACGCACACGCGCTAAACATTCCACCATCCAACACCGCTTCATATTAATGGCATTTCAGCACCAACCGGGCTATATTACGGCAAAAATATGAGGAGTTTAACAAGTGAAACTTAATCTAATCACAGCAATATATTGATACTCATAAATAAAAACAGATATCAGTTCAAACTTACATCCACGAACATCTATGCCAGGATTGTATCAAACCCACTTATTTCAATTGAATTCAAGGCACGATGCAATATATTGGATGTTAGAAGAAGGGCAACACCACTAGCAGCAATATGTAAACCTACATTTACCTTGATTAAATCAATCAACATTAATAAATTTGTTTATTTTAATCGCCTTATGTGTTATAACACGTTAGTGTTTATAGAGCAATCAAAAAGAGGTAAACGCTGGAGACGAGACTAACAGAACCAAATCCCACAGAACAATTACTGGAGACGAGACTAACAGAACCAAATCCCACAGAACAATTACTGGAGACGAGACTAACAGAACCAAATCCCACAGAACAATTACTGGAGACGAGACTAACAGAACCAAATCCCACAGAACAATTACTGGAGACGAGACTAACAGAACCAAATCCCACAGAACAATCACTGGAGACGAGACTAACAGAACCAAATCCCACAGAACAATATACTGGAGACGAGACTAACAGAACCAAATCCCGAAATGAAGTGAAATGGAGTTTAACGTCCTACTGTTCTGCTCCTAACCTGGGCTAATGAAGACGGGCACACGCCATACAGTGTGCTATGAGGGAAATTTTGCCCGGACAGCGGCACTACGGCCTACTCTTATATCGAATTCCAACTGCCAAGGGATCTTTTACGTGCACGCCAATGTGTACACGGGACCTCGGTTTTTCGTCCCATCCGAACGACTAGACAGCTTTCCTTGTCAGCCCCTCCGTCCTGCATCACTGACAAGGGAGAACCACGCCGGAAAATCTGGATGAACTTTCTCGGCCAATGCAGGGATCGAACACCCGACCTCCTGGCTAGCGAGCTAGCGTCTTACCCACTTAGCCACGTGATCCCCGAACCAAATCCCACAGAACAATTACTGGAGACGAGACTAAGAGAATCGCACCACACAGAGCAATCACTGGAGTCGAAACTAACAGAATCACAGCACACAGAACAATTGTAGCGATGTCAAGTCGACACGCCTTACATAGTTTAGTTCTGATTTACATTTATTGTTATGGTTCGCTCTCCTTTAAATACTAACGCGGTATGAATATTTTGGTCTGATTACCTAAGTCTATTATTGTAGTAACCTCTCTTGCTAGTCGAGATTATGAAATCTCTTGTATTTTGAGGAGCACGTGGAGTAGACGCTAAAAAAGAGGGGGATGAACTGTTATCATGTTGTTTTATATTTATATCATTATTCTCTGGTTGCGGTTAACCTGTAACACCCCTTCGAGTTACGAAAGAGTGGGCCATGTGGACAGGAGCCCTGTGGTCGTAACACAATCAAACAGAAATAAATCACTGGACTTACGAGAGAGATTCATTTCATTTGATAGTTGATAACTGGTCGTGGTTAGGCTTAAAAACCATCGGAACCGCGGTGGTTCAGTGAGTAAACTCTGGCTCGCTAACCATGTCTCCCGTTGTTGGCCCAGACAGATCCTCGGAGTCTTTCGACGCGGTTTCCTGAGAACAATATGTGACACTACGGTGTTGTTAAATAGATGAATTAAAGATACATTATGTAAGATTTAGATAAAGAACTAGCCATTCTTGCTATAATAGTTCGAAAGTAGATGATGTAAAATGAATAAATTGAAAATTTCATTGAAATTACTATATTGCAAGCGAAGATATTAGCCTTTGAAGGTTTGACAGACGTGTGCAATAATTTCAACCACCGTACTGGTTGATCGAAGCTAAGTCTCGGTCCTCCATATTTGATTAAATCAAAGTATCGCTGAACCATTCTAATCTATTTAATATCGGAGAAATCTGATGCCATCGAGAGTTGATTAATGTCTAATTAATACTTTAGAAAACATTTCAGGCCTAAAGAAAGACCTGCAATAGGCAGATTTAGCTCTTGCATAATGTATGTTTAACTCTCGACTTCCACGTTGTTTATAAAACCTCAAGAATCAATTGACTCTGGAATAATTTGTTGGTTTAACTATGTCTTTATATATCATTATAACATTCATAATGCAACGGTTATATACAGGAAATGAAATGAAATGAAGTGTGGTTTTATGGCACGTCAGCTCCAACCGGGCTATATTGCGCCAAACATATGGTGACAAGCCAACAGTGAGGCTGATGTCCCCCGCCGAAATAGCAAAATAATTAGATGACACGTATTAATTAATAGAACATTTATTTTTTTCAAAAGTATGGAACAGTTAAACTATAGACTAAGTTTCATCACTGTCTATCAAATAGAATCAAGATTATGAAACTGATAAGCTCTGCTTGGCTTCAGCTCGAAATGTTAATCATTGAACTTAGTCAAGACATTCACCTAATGAACATCTACATCAAGTTTAAACATTCTACCTCAATTAAAAGCAGAGTTATTATGTTCCAAAGTCTTGACCAATCAATTAAATTGCTTATTGCTCCTTAGCCTTAGCAGAAAATTTCCACCATCGAACTTAGTCAAGGTAATGATATAATGAATCTATATTCGGAGTTTCATCTCTCTCAAAGTTATCATGCCCCAAAGCATCAACCAATCAGATTGCTTATCTCTGCTTACCGTAAGCATACAATGTTCATCATTGAACTCCATCAAGGCATTCACCTAATGAAAGCCTACACCAAGTTTGAACATTCTACATCAATTAGAATGTGAATTATTGTGTTCCAATGTCTCGACCAATCAAATTGCTTATCGCTCTGCTTAGCCTGAGTAGAAAATGCTCATGATTGAACTTAGTCAAGGTATTGATGTAATGAAACTATACACCAAGTTTCATCAATCTCACTTAATTAGAACTAAAGTTATC